AGCTCTGAGTAAACTTTGCATGGCAGGTCAGACCCACACCCACCTACATGCCTTGTGAGTCTCCCGTTATATACCTTGGTAAGCAGTCTAGATTTTAGTCAAGGGAACAAGAGTGGGAAGATCAATGAAGTGGATCTCCCCCATATCTGTATCGCAATGAGAAACTGAAGATAGCTTTTTATCAAATACTTCAAGGTTTGATTAAAAGTACCTTATACCTATAATGCACAGCAAACATCTTAGCATCTTTGTGTCTATTAGGGGGAACTGCTGATTTAGCATTTGATGTTTTTTAAATCTGGTCTTCCTTATGTTTTCAAAATGTTTAGTGTCCAAACCCAAAATCCAAGTAGAATCAGAAAAGAACAGCAACTAGTAAATTCTTGTATTAGTTACTTTTACATAACTGTGACCAAAATCCTTGAGAGAACTTCAGGGACAAAGAATTTATTTTGTTCAGTTTCAGAGGTATCAATCCATAATGGTGGGCAGGGAGTGGTGGAGCACAGAAGCTCACATCATGGCAGACACGATGGAGAAAAGAGGAATGAGTCAGGGACAAGAAACCACAAAACACCTGCCCCCAGTGACTTGCACTTCCAGCTAGGCTCCACCTTGTAGAGTTTCCACAGTATCCCAAAATAACCATCAGCCGGGGACCAAACATTCAGCACATGAGCCTATGGGGAACATTTCACATTCAAAGCCATAACACTTCCTTTGTAATTTAAAAAGATTTAAATTTGGCAAAACTATTTCAACATTTTCTGATCAGCCGGCGTTAAGAATTTCAGTTTCACTCCATACTCTATTTATTCCTTAAAGTTTATAAATCTGACTTCCATGCCAGCCACTTCAATGAAACGTCTCTCACTGCCGTCTATGATTTCTCCTGGGGCTCCATTCACAGTCCTTTCTTCATTCCACTCATTTTTCTTTTTTTCTTTGGCAGCATTAGAGTTTGAACTCAGGGCCTCACACTTGCTTGGCAGGCACTCATTACTTGAGCCACTCCACCAGCACTTCTTTTTGTGTGAGGATTTTTTTGAGATAAGATCTTGCAAACTCTGCCTGGGCTGGCTTCAAATCTCAATCCTCTTGATCTCTGCCTCCTGAGTAGCTAGGATTACAGGCGTGAGCCACCGGTGCCCAGTATTCCTCTCTTATCTGCTGAGTGATCTGACTCTTTGCTCTGATTTCAATCACCACAGATATACACTGACTCCTAACTCTACGGATGAGGTTTCTCCCTCTAGTTCAAAATTCAAATTATCAACTATCTTCAACACATCTATTATTTTTACCTCATATTTAACCTTGGTAGTAAATAATTTTATTTAGAGATGGGGTCTTGCTATGCAGCCCAGGCTGGCCTCAAACTCATAATACTCCCGCTTCCTGAGTGCTGGGATAGTAATTAATTTTTAAAAGTGTTTTTTTTTCTTCCACCCTAAATCTAATTCTTTTTCATTCCTAAAATATTTATGGCATATGTGATGGCTTAAAAATATATTCACAAATGTTCACATTCTTTCCTTCAATGGGGTGGAGCTCCAAACTGTGGACTTAGTGACTTGTTTCTAAAAAGAAGAACATGGCAGAAGTGACAGCGCTTGATTTCCAAGCTTAGGTCATAGAAAACTTTGCTTTTCCTTTGCTTACTCTCTTAAAATGATCACTTAGGAGTAAGCCAGCTGCCATATATTGAGGACACTAAGACTTGCTGCCAACCACCAGTGGGAAACCAAGGCCTTTCACCTATACCACAGAAGCAGACACCTGAGCCCGCTTGAGTCTTCAGTGACCAGAGGCTCAGCAAACAGCTTGACTGCAACTTCATGACAGCCTTGAGCTGGAGGTACCCAGCTAAAATGTACCTGGACTCCTGACTTTCAGAAACTGAGATAATAAATACGCTAAGCAGCTAAGTTTTGGAATAACTTATTACTCAGAAATTAGTTGGAGTAAACCTAAACTCAGAATCCAAGCCAGGTGTGGGGGTACAAATATGTAATAGCAGCAACTCAGGAGGCAGGGGCAAGAGAATCATGAGTTCAAGGTCAATCTGGGCAAAAGTTGTTGCAAGACCCTGTGTCAAAAACAAGAGTTGGGGGCATGGCTCAAGTGGTAGAGCCGCCTGACTAGCAAGTGTGAAGCCCTGAGTTCAAACCAGTATTATCAAAATAACCAACCAAGTAACCAACCAACCAAAAAGAAAAGCAAACGGACTTATGGCATAGCTTAAGCAGTAGAGTGCTTGCCTAGCATGCGCAAGGTCTTGGGTTGAATCCCCAGTAACACACACACACACACACACACACACACACACATAATCCAAACAGTAGAAATGGTAAAATGAGTATTGAATTTTCTTCCCACTCTAACCACACTTTTACTATTTTCTCAGTTATCCAGTTTCCCAAACGAGCAAGTAAGGCCCACCCTACCAGTTACATAAGCTGGTTGTCATTTTCCCTTTATGTATCACTTGAGCCCACCCCTACTCTTATTGCCTTCATTATTTTTCAATTACTAAGACACCACATTCAACTTGTCTTCTTCTCTACAATGTTTCCCAGCTCTACAGTATTCGCTAGACTAATGCTAACAAGAGCTTTTCTCAAACATGTATTTGATGTTTTGTTAAACTTTAGGTTTCCAAAATGCACAGGATAGAATTTGAATGTCTTAGCAGGGCATGTCTGCCCCTCTGCTACAGTTTTCTCTCTTATCTTCCATGTTCACAGTCTGCATCTGGCCATCTTTTACCTGTTTATATGCTGCATTCTTTCTCATCTTTCATTCTTCCCTCACAACTCCTACTCCTTTAAAAAACAGACAAACTTGGTTCAAGCTTTACTTTGGAAAACTTTCCTTAGTTAGCAGGACCTGGTTAGATGATTTTCTTTTTCTGTGGTGCTGGAGACTGAACCCAGGACATCAAGCATGCTAGGTAAGCACTCTACCACTTAGTTACATCCTAATCCAAGGTGACTTTCTTACATTACTTTATCAGAAAACGTATCACATAGATCAGTATTGTGTCCACTAGAATGTGCATTCCTGAAAAAAAATCTACCCTGATATTTATGTATTTATTCATTAATGTATACAATTTGTATCTACTGAATAATTACATGACAAGAACTACATGAGGCGTTTGTTATTTAATGGTCAAAGGTTAGATCAAAAAGAATTAACCTAGAAGGTAACACCCATGCACAGGAAATCAATGTGAGTCAATGCCCTGTATAGCTATCCTTATCTCAACCAGCAAAAACCCTTGTTCCTTCCTATTATTGCTTATACTCTCTCTACAACAAAATTAGAAATAAGGGCAAAATAGTTTCTGCTGGGTATTGAGGAGGGGGGAGAGGGAGGGCGGAGTGGGTGGTAAGGAGGGGGTGGGGGCAGGGGGGAGAAATGAACCAAGCCTTGTATGCACATATGAATAATAAAAGAAAAATGAAAAAAAAAAAGAGAAAGCCTGAAAAAAAAAAAAAAAAGACAAATGTGGCTCTGTCCTTCCAGAGATGATTGTCTACTTAAAGAAGATGGGCTGGGCATGATGGTGCACATCTGTAATCCCAACTACACAAGAAGCAGAGTCAGGAGGATCATGAGTTTGAAGCCAGCCTGGGCAAAAAGTTAATGAGACCATATCTCAAAATCAAGCCAGGAGTGGGTTATATGCCTGTAATCCTGGCTACTCAGGAGCTAAATGTGGGAGGATCTTGGTATGAGGCCTGTTTCTAGGCAAAAGTACAAAACTCTATCTGGAAAACAAACTAAAAGCAAAAGGGCTGGGGGCATGGCCAAGTGGTAAAGGACTTGCCTAGTAAGCGCAAGGCCCTGAGCTCAATCCCCAAAGGAGAGGAGAAGAGAAGGATGAGGAAAGTCAAATAAATAAATATGAGATCTGAAGGAACATCACAAGAGTAGCAACAGGGCCCTACTTTAGATTATATGACACACAGTTGCACTCAATCACTTACAGATGTCAGTTGTTTCACAAAATGGTTGCATAAACTACACTTTCACCACGAGGTACACATGACCAGGTTCTGTTTGTATTTTTCAGGTCTATAGCATCCTAGGCCAGTGCTCTGCCACAGAGACATCCCTATGCCTGACTTCTTTTTAAATATCTTTGGTAATATTGTCAGTGTCACTTTCTTTCTTATAAATTCTTCACACTAAAAATCAAGAGTATAAAGCATGATATGCTTAAAAAAGAGGTTTCATAAAAGCACAAGTGGAAAACTAGCTTTATATATTATTAAGAGTATTCAAATGGATGGCCTAGATAATTTGAAATAATTGCTAGATCACACTTTACTATAAAAAATAATGTTAAAAAAATGAGCCAGGCATGATGGTGCACATCTGTAATCCCAGCTCTTGGGAGGTAGAGCAGGAGGACCAAGAGTTTGAGGTCAACCTGGGTATTGTTTCAAAAAAGTCAAAAAAGAAAAAAAAAAAAGCCAAGCTAAAAAAGAAAATCCAAGTATCTCTGGCATTCAGAGATCTGAAGCAATCACTGCCTTGCTGTTTAAGAGAGTAAATTCCAAGGGAATCCCTGCCTTTTCCTTGGCTTGTGCCAAGTGACTCACAACTAAAACATTTTTGGGATACGTTGATATGAGAAAAAGTTAAAAAAAAAAAAAAAAAGGCTAAGTGTTTTAAAAAGGGGAATGCCAGAATGAGAAAATGATAGTAAAATCCATGAAACAATTCATACTAAAAATTATTTAAACTATTTTATAACTATCCAAAAACTCACTTCAAAACAAAACTTGATAGATGAAGATAAAAATATTAACTGTCACTTAAAATATGAGATTTTTAGGCCTAACTTCTTATGTTAACATAGAACACATACAAAACTAAAAAGATGACATGAATGTTGCACTGGATTACAAAACCTTTATTTTACAAATGAAATACATGTTTCTGATGCTTTTGGTGTAAACCAGGTTACAAAAATTAAAATAGGTCTACCCCTTCTTAAATCCAAATTATCTACAGTAACATCAACTAATTATGCTGTTTTCTGAATATTTAAATTAATCAGAATAGATAAGGAAAAATGGCATATGCTTTACACTACATTAACCATGCCAGTTGGGACAATAAATTTTCTCTTCTGGGAAACATCCTCATCTCTGCTTTCAGTGGTGTATTTCAGTACTCAGCTGAATTTGTGCCAAGAAGAGGTATTCATCACAAAACCTGTTCCACCACAGAAAAGGTTTTTAAACAAACTGCCCACTGCCCAACATGAAAACGTTAACTTGCAACTTTTTTGTTTTTACTTTTGGTGTCTGCAAGGAAATTTCAACAAGTCTTTAAAGGTGTTCTACCTTTACTAACCCACAATAACCATTTAATGGTAGTATGTTCTTGTGTCAAGACAGGTCAAGATTTGTGATGCTCATGATTACTTCTGACAGTGACAATAATCAATTTTCCTGGCAATAGACTAGAACTGTAACTCAAATTATTAACACAATGATAACGTTATTAATGTAATGATAACAGTTCCTAACAAGCAATTTTTCTAGAAAATAATTTCCTTAGAAAAGGTGTAGTATAAAAATATTTTTCTTCTTTAGTTCCCTGCCACAATAACTTGAACCTACCTAGATTCTCCTCAAATATCAAAGGCAAAGAGCTTGACCCTCACTTCAGTTGGCACATTCCTCCTATAGCCAGTTTTCTGTGCAAGGCACTTTCTAAGGACTTAGACAATACTAAAGAAAAAAAACGCTCCTCTCGCCCACTCATCTTTTGGGTATGTTTTCCCTCCAACTTTCAAAATTAAATAATGCTGTGACTGGCTTTTCTGGAAGTTCATTTTCCATGGCACAGCCCTTAAGTTATTTTCCTTTTATTTGGAGCCACTCCTTCATTTTCAACTTGCTGAGCAGGCAGGCAACTGCTTTTGGTTTCCACGGAAACTGGATTCCTGCGGCTGCGTGTAGGCATTCTTGTTCCACCAATCTAGAAGAGGAAGCAAAGAACAGAACAGCTTAATAAATTTTCAACACACCTATACACAGTCAGTCCTGTACTGTTTGCTCATGTACTACTCATCTTGGGAACACTTCAATCCTTAGCCACCTCACTGTCTTAAAAGAAGTTCTAATCTGACACAGTTTTAAAGTACTGAACTTTCAAGTAACGATCAGGGAAGTCTCGAGAGAAGTGAACAGGGAAACTACTCTTTATTAAATGTGGAGAGTTTGGAAAAAGAAGGAACAAGAACTGTGGAGACAGGGAATGGAAATACAGACAAAAGAAAATGCAGAAAGAGACAAAGAGTAAGAAAAAACCCCCAAGAGTACAAGAGGAAAGAAGGAAAAAAGAATAAATATGAATGAAAAAAAGGAAGGGAAAGTAGGGAACGCAGGTAGAAAGGAAAACCTTCAGAGGCTGAAAAAGAAGAACAAGAAAAAGAAAAGGGAAGGAGGAACTAGAAGGGAACAGAGAGAGACTGGGCGAAGGGGAAGGAAGAAGGGAGGGATACATGTGCTCTCAGATCCTCCTCACTCTCACTTTCTATCACACAGTCTAAGGAAGAGAGAAGTTTTGCCTGTTCTTAGGCACAGTCCCTTGCTAGGCATAGTTCTGGTTAAAGATGAGATCTGGAAATGCTGTCACCTCCTTGGTCACTTAGAAGGCAGAAGTTTCTACAAAGGGTAATGGAGAAGAGGCCAGGTATTACAGAGAAGTAAGGCTGCTGCCTGAAATCATTTCCACAGGCTCTGCCACTAGCTGCCTCTATTTCCCCTAGCCACCTCACATTCTTTCTGTTTCTTATCCTACCCAGGAAAATCCCACACCTGAGGATGTCAGGGTGATGCTGTAACTCCATGCACAGGTTCTCATATTCCTAGCCCAACAAAAGCAGTACCAGCAGGCCCCAAGGGACTACTGGCTCACAAAGAATGGATGAATGGATCAGCTCCCATGACGAGAAAAGGACAAATTAAGTAGAGATTTGAGTCTGCCAGTCTGTCTGAATCTGATGAATATTTATAACATTCTGATTAGAAAAGTGCTATGATTTTGAGATATCCTTATCACTCTCCACTCATCTAGTATTTCTCATACAAGTATACTGACCTTACTATTTTTATCTACTATATTTTTGAGGAAAGCAAGCATTGTGAAAGCTTCCATAAGGACTCCCCCTCCCCCATGTCTGTGTGTTTAATGAATGTTTATTAGAGGAGATGCAGAAGGAGGAAAGGATAAAGTAGCACAGGAAGCAAATGGGACTCTTCTGTATGACCTATGCTTGATGCAGTGAGAGGCAAATATGGAGTCTATTGAGGTAACTCTCAGGGGTTAGTGTCTAAAGATACTGGATGAAGATGAGCTCTAAGTTCAAGAACTCTAAGGACTAAAAGACTGCATTAGGGCAAAACAAACATTTATTTTCTGAGTCTCTACACCAAGAAAACAAGCAGATGATTTCTGTTTCACACAAGGTCTTACTTCCCTGGCTTCCTGAGAGTTCTGACCATTTCCCATTGTTGCTAAGGCTAGTGTGGTTGGAGGCTTAGTGTGGTTGAGTCTGTAAAGTCCCATTTCCACTGCCTGGCTAGGAGGAAGGCAGGAAGGTGGGGTAATCCTTACTAAATGTAGGGGTAGGTTGTAGGGAGTTGAGTAGGCAATGACCAAAAGTCTTCCACTGGCTTTTAAAAATGTATGAAACTAGCTGGGAGTCAGTGGCTCATGCTGAATTGGGAGGATTGTGGTTCAAGGTCAGCCCATGCATGAAGTTTGAGAGACTCCATCTCAACCAACAGCTGGATTTGTAGTGTATCCCTGTTATCCCAAACTATGTGGGAGTGGGAGTCTGAACAAGGAGGATCATAGCTCCAGGGCAGCCTGGGCAAAAAAGATTTCAAGACAACATCTCAAGGGGAAAAAACCTAGGCATGGTGGCATGCACCTGTCTTCCAAGTGAGGACTGGAAGCTTAAAAATACTGGAGGATTGTGGTCCAGGCTGAACTGGGCAAAAAGTGAGACCTTATCTCCAAAATAACCTGAGCAAAAAGGACCTTGGCTTGAGTGGTAGATGACTTGCCTAGCAAGCGTGAAGACATGAGTTCAAACCCCTGTACTGTCAAAAAAAAGTATCAAAGCAAGCATTAGTTATCTCACTGTCTATTGCATCTGATGCTTGGCTGTGTGATAACCTGGCTCTAGGTAAGCTAAGCATTTTTCCTGGACTGACTGTGTGAAGTTTTTTTTCTTTGTGGTACTGGTGGTTAGACCCAGGGCCATGAGCTTGCTACGCAAGTGTTCTATCATTTGAACTACTCCTCCAGCCCTTGTGTGTTTGAAATAGGGTCTTGCTACATTTGCCTGGGCTGGTCTTGAACTTCCAATGCTCCTACCACCCGTCTCGAATAGCTGGAATTACAGACATGTGTCATTATGCACAGTACATGAAGTACATTAAAAAATACAACTCAACAAGAGCTCAGATATATAACTGGATTGTCAAAATGCACATTTATAGGACCAAACCTTGCAAATATTCAATTTCTCCTTTTCCAAAGAAAATATTTTCTTGTTACACATTTTGGACCATGTTATTAAAAAAGTCAAATTGTTAAAGCATTTCCAAAGCATAAAACATTCAACATTACCTCAGGGTCAATCTGTATTAATAAGGAAATGATAGCACTCTTTTTCTTTTAAAAAAAAACACCTTGCACAAACATAAAATATTTTTCCTTTCACTTAAAGCTGTTCAGTGCTAAGGTATTAAACCATTCATTTTCACTAAAAAGGAAAAAGCTACCTCCACACAGAATTATATGTTATGGTTGTGAGACTATAATCAGTGTTTCTAAATTAAAAGAAAATCATTCTCTTAGAATACATATCTTTCAAAAAAAAAAAAAAGCTCTTCAGTTATTATTTTTAAGTTACTTAAGAAAACTTTTCCTCAGGTTATAAAAATCGGTACTTATATGTAAACTAGACATAATCAATGAAAACCATACATAAAATAAAATTTAACAACTGACTCTCTCCATTTTTTCACTCCTCTCCACTAGTTAACCTTACTTATACTTTCTCGGCCAAAGTCAACAAGTAATGTGCAATGTACAAGGAGCTCAGGGCATATTCAGCAGGAGCAAGGCAAGCTCAATCCCCAAGCACCAAACACTACAATGGAAGACAATGGAAAACAATGGATCTTCAATTATGAAAATGTCCTTAGCATTCACACTCAGAGCCATTTCTCAAAAGGACATTTACAGATTAATTCAGTACAATATAGAAAGGGAAAAAGAACAGAACATCCAAGGGATACAGAAGTGACAGAGAGACTCTGGAGCAACTGTCAAGATTTCAGAACACACACAGTCATTTTGACACAAACATGTTTTGGCAACATGGAAAGAAAAACACAGGTTTTTGCTTCCTGAACATTAGGTTCATTTGTAGACAGCAAAATTCTTCCTATGACTAAACTCTAATTGAAATTTATTTTGAGACATCGAGAATGAGTGACATGGCAAGAGAATATCACTAGCCATGGCTTTGTAAGTTTCAGATAAACAAATGTTGCTCAATTGGCATTTCTGAGAAGAGTTTTATAAACAAAGTAACATCAATTGTAATTCAATAAATGCTGAGCTATACAACATTTAGCAAAACACAACTTAGTTCTTAATACGTTAGCTGTATTTTTAACAAGGCACTCCACAAATTACTAACTTTTCCATATCTTACTGATCAATTTTTAATTATATCATAGTTGTATTGTATACACTCTGCAAATTGCCTCAAATATTTAATAAAACAGAGGATACATACATAAAAATTACAAAGAAATACAAGTTTGCTTTGTAATAGGAACACAGTTATATTTCTGTGTGGATGTTATCCTTCTGCACCTTCAGGGCAAGCTAACACAATATTCTTTAGTGACTTTACAAATCTTACAAAAATAGAGTTCCAGTGACAGAAAGACTGTACTTGGTAGCGCAAATGACATTATCTACTCTTCCTGGGGACACAGATTTTAGGATGCTGCTGTGATGAGCATGGTAACTGTGGACATCAGGCTGAGATACAATCAGTGTAATGGACTAACAAGAAGTGACCTGAAGGAACTTGTGACCTAAGCAATCTTACCTTCAGTTGCGACGCAGGACCCAGTGACTTAGGTGGAAAAGTGCAAGGTACTCGTCCATGCTGGATATGATATGGCAACAGGAGACTGGGATCTAACGGCACCCAGGGAACTGAGAGACTGGAAGGTACACCAGGAAGGTCACAGTGTGTTCGATGCAAATTGTAGGCTGTCCTGGTGACTTTTCCATCGGAGGTCTTGTAGATCAGGAGGGAGGAATCTTCTGCTGCATGAGACAACAGGTAGGAGCCCTCCTGCAAGCTAAATTCACAGTGAAAATCAACTCTCTGGTTTACTGCATCCATTTCAATAGCATTGCCCTAATCATCATCTATTAGCAAAACTAAACACAATTACATGAATACAATACCATTTAAAATACTTTTACACCAAAAAAAGTAAAGACTTAAGATTGACTGATTGATTTTAGTTTTTCTGGAAGTAGTGGAGTATGAACCTGGCCTGGTGCTTGTGAGGCAAGGCTTTCCACCACTTGAGCCACACCCCTAGCCCTTTTTGCTTTTTAGCTATTTTTCCAACAGGGTCTTGCATTTTTTCCTGGGGTCAGCCTCAGACTGCAATACTCCTACCTAGGCTTCCCATGTAGCTGGGTTCACAGGTGCAAGTCACCACACCCAGCTGACTGAGATGGGAGCTTGCTAACATTTCCTGGGCTGGTCTTGAACAGCCATCCTTCTGATCTCCACCTCCTGAATAGCTGGAATTACAGATGTGAGCCACTATACCCAACCAAGATTTAACATTTAAGAAGTCTTTTAAAACTATATTCATGCCTTTTAGGCAATTAACTCTAAAAAAATTTTTTTGAGATAAGGTCTTGCTATGTAGCTCAGACTGGCCTCAAACTCACTTGTTCCCCATTCTGCACCCACCCCTCCCTGCCCCCCCCACCAAGTCTAGCCCCAAATTCAAAACCTTCCTGCCTTAGCCTTTGGAGTGCTGGGATTACGGCACAAAGCACATGGCTCATTCCAAAATTCAAAATAGCTGGTCATCTTCTTTGTATGGTTACATCAATTTGTAAATTTTCATTTAAAGGAAAAGTCTGCTTAATTCTCTGACCTAAGAGCAGATTCTTACACTGAAGGACACTCTGTAACACTCTCATTCATTCAACATTGTACTTACTTTGTATCTAATAAGACAGATGAACAGAGATACAAAAGTGAAGTGAGTGTGGGCTGGTGAAGTGGCTCAAGTGGTAGAGCACTGCCTAGCAAGCCTGAAGCTGTAAGTACAAACCTTAGTACCACCAAAAGAAAAAAAAGGTGAATATGACATATTCACTATTTTAAAATAAAGTGTTACAGTCAATGGAACTATCAAACAACAATGAGGTAGCATGAGTATAACAGTAACAACAGCAGTTAATAAATACTGAATGTTTACTGAGAGGCAACCATTATACACTGCTTCAGACCCATCTTTTCTTTCTTATTTTTTTTGGCAATACTAAGGTTTGAACATTCACTTTCTTAAGTCCTCTGCAATAAGCCTTGAAGGCATAATATTAATTATTCACTCGAAATTGGGAATAAATAAATAAATTAGAGATCTAAGCAATTTGCCAAAGGTTCTGACTATAGTGAGCTTGGATATAAACCTGGCAGTGAACTGCACAGGCCATACCCTTACTCATGATCCTCTACTGTCACAATAATTGGTTATGTCAGACATCTGGTCCATACTTTTCTTTCTGCCATACAAACTTTTAAGGGTCTCAATATATCAGCATAAAGAGATAAAGGATATGATTAATATACTGTGCTTTCTTGGGATTACACATTTCTCTGGATCAAAGGGGCAAGGAGAACAGTTCTTTCCCACATTATTGAAAATAAATATTAACCATACTTTAGTTATATAGATGTGCCTACGAACCTAATAAGCTATATTTTAATTAACTTTCTAACCCCAAATCTAATAGGTTTTAACAAAGGAGGTCCAGAGAATTATTCTTATCCTCTGGGGAGTTTTTTTTCTCTCAATCACTTTAAATGAAGACACAAATCATAATTTTTGTCAGAAGGAACAAATAACACTTCAAAGATTGAGTTTTTATGAATGAGAATCATATATCATAGCAGTACTGAGAGTTCGAGGTCAGCCTGGGCCATGTAGCAAGTTTGAGGCTAGCCTAGGCTAGCCTTGTCTAAAAGGAAAAAAAAATAGAAAAGAGAATACATTTGTACTGTTTTAAACCACTAAGTTAGCAGTAATTTGTTAGACTGGCGATAGGAAATGAGAACGATAGCCTTCCAGGAACATATATTTGCAACCTCATTATAGCTAACTAATATTAGATTCTCTTTTTTACTTAGGTTTTTACAATTTCAACTTTGACAAAATAATTCTTGGATTTCTAGTTTTTTTTTAATCTATCTCTAACAATGTATTTTCAAAGTTTGTATATCAATGCATAATGTCTAAAAAATACTTACCTAGTTAATTTCTTTAAAATGTGTTGGAGGATGTTAAATAAACTAGAAATCCTATAAAACAGAAGAAATTCATGTAAAAGTAAATCACAAAAACCTTAACTCTTAATATTTATAGCTTTTCAAGAGACAAAATGGCCTCAAAAATAAAGGAAAACAGCAGATGAAATAATGTAAAACAAATAATGCCAACCTTACTTATGTTTGATGAAATATTTTCTTAATTTTTACTGTTTCTTGATTTCTCTTCATAATCATATATATTTAGCTTTATTCAAGTCAATATATTTTTTAAAAAGTTCCTGTCCAAGAGAAGCAATTCTTCAAATAGCATTGAATGTACTTAAGTATAAGTAGAGAGTTCAAGTTAGACTCTGGGACTCTTAAACTGTGTCAAGTCTCAAAGCTGGAACTATGTAGCTAATATAAGTCAAGAGAATTTCTCAATGTAAGTAGTGAAAGAAGCATATTAACTATTAAGCCTGTGTGAACTAGCTCAGCTACGTGATCTGGGATGAGTCACACCAAGTGCCAGTTTCCTCATATAAATGCCAATGACATTCCTATCAGCCTTTCATGGGACATTATGAGATGCAAATGAGACAACATTCATAAGTTATTTCCTTTGCACTTAGGGACTTAAGAATTCTGAATACAAGCTGGGCATGGGGGCACATGTCTGTAATCCCAGAACTTGGGAGGCAGAGGAAGGAGGATCAGGAATTCAAGGCCAGCCTGGGCTACCTACTGAGACTATTTCAAAAAACCACATATACACAAAAAAAGAGTTGTGAGTACATTAAATTCCTTTAGATCTGGTGTACAATAATGCTTAGAAGGATAACCAAACTTTTAGAAGTTAGGATGTTCAATCAGCACACACAATCCTGAGAGCTGAGAGGGTCTGTCTGTCCCCTCCCTTGCCTTCCCCATAGAGGACTAAAATGTTCATTTCCCATGGACTCCAAGATGATGTCTTAAGTAGGAAGACTGGTGCTCTTGGCATTTATATTTAATTTGGAGATGATAATGATTAATATGGATAGATCACAAGTTGGGGTAGGGGAAGCTTCAATGTATAAAATGACAAAAGTCTATAAAATAAATTATTTTAACATAATCAATATTTAGAGTTAAGGAAAATTAGTTATCATATTAACAAGTTTTTCAATTCCTACCACAAACTGAGCTTCCTTACTTGAGTGCTGAAAGTTTTTCTTTTAATTCTTCTGAAGTAATTTCTTCTAGCAGGAAAAGCTTTGAAGTAAATGCATCAATATGCCCTAAAATAAAACATGAAACTTAAAAGCAAACCCAAGCAATTGCAGTATTTAAAACACAAAAACCCAACAATTTACCTAGTCTCCTCAGAGATGTTTTTGCAAAATTGTAAGAACTATAAAGTAATTTTGCATTCTAAAAGGAGAAATAGATATTTCATTACATCTGTCAAATAAAGCTATATTTTAAAATGACATAAAATTCATATTATAAGTATGTACTTATTCTAAAATATTTGCTGAATATAGAAAAGTTCATACATGTCCACACACCCAAAATAATCTCTAAACCTTCTCAAACATTGGTGTTTATAATTCCTACTAAAGTTGCATTTTTATGGAGTTTTTGAGGGAAATATGTACTTATCAAAACAAGCAGTTAAAATCAAATTTTGCACTGAGCATGCTCAATATATCTCTAGGACATGTGGTTCCTGAGGTTATAAAAATATGGCTTATTATTTTTAATTAAAGCACACAGTAAGATTTCCCATGGGTAATATAGTCTGCTCAAAGTCTTACTTTCTTACAAGCGTAATATGAAACTAGAATTCCAAAAACACTAAATAGCAAATTCTCAAAATGACATTTCTATTTAAAAAAGTAATATATATATTATAAAACAAAACAGCTTGAGAGACAACACTGAGGTGCTGTAATACAGCAGTGAAGAGAGACTTAAGAGATGCCCAGAGTCACATGCTACATAATCAAGTCTACACAAAGGCCATGCCACTGTACATGATTAAAAACATGAAGTAGCCATGAGAGTAACACTCACCAATGTGGAAAATAATTTTGAATTTATTCATTTAACTTCTAATATTTTGTTGTCAAAACAAATTACCTAGAAAGCTGATACCAATCACTGGGATAATAAAAGTCTTCGCATAATTTAGTATCTCATGTTTCATATCCAGCCCACTTTAATTTGTTTTATGCTCAAAGAACTTAACTAGAAACATCTTCACCAGATATCTTTCTTCTAAGACAACAAATCCATTTGTTCGCACACTTATATTTAACTTTTGGCAGTACTGGCGTTTGGACACAGAGCCTCAACACTTGTGAGGCAGGTACTCTACCACTTGAGCCACTCCACTAGTCTACCTGCTATTTCAAGTTTTAGCTTTACCTCTGCACTTCTAGCACACATTGTAGAGTGACATTTCTAATAAAGACATATTTTAAGTGTCTAATAACCACAAAAACATGATATTAAGTACAATAATATATTCTTAGATGTTTACCAAAATAAACCTTTGAGGAGACATCTTATGTTTTTAGAGAAACTCAATGTAATAGTATGTATTGTCAAAAATAACTATACAGAGAATACCATACTAAGCACTAAGCACTGAAGGAGATTACAACTCTTATCAACATTGGAGTTTTCTCCTCAAAGGAGATATATGTATGCCCAAGATATTTATCTCCTCAGTTCTTAGGGCAGCTGAACAAGGTTGGGGATGGCAAAAGCTTTCTGGCCATTGCCCTTCAGTCACAAGCAATCTCTTTTGAATATCACAGTGTGCTGTATAAGTATTTTCAAAAAGCTGTGAGGCACTGTATTATATACTACAAATAAACATTCACATATGCATGTATATTCATATTCATGTATGTACATGCATACGTTTATACATGCTTTTACTTACACACATGCATACATATATACATATAGCCAATTGCTCTGCATGCAATGGAGTTCCATAAAAATGATCACACAAATTGAGATCATGCAAACAATTTCTATAATCAGTGGAGAAATTATAATTATTTCATTTCCTTTAAAGTTTTTATCAAAATATTATAAATTTTCCACCAATTATAAATACATGGGGAAATGAAAATAGCAAAATATTTATTTACTATACTGTAATTCAAACAATAAAAATATAGAATTAAATTTTTCTTAATAAAATTTTTATCAAAAACAGGTGAGGTGGCTCAAGAGTATAATCCTAGTAATTTGGGAGGACAGTGGTTCAAGGCCAGTTTGGGAATAAAGTATGTGAGACCCTATCTCAATCAACAGCTGGGTGTGGTGGTATAAGCCTGTTATCCCAACTACAGGGGGAAGCACAAATAGGAGAATCATGGGCCAGGCTGACCTGTGCAAAAAAGCAAGACCCTATCTCAAAAATAACTAGAGAAACAGGGGCTGGAGGTGTGGCTCAAGTGGTAGTGTGCCTGCTTAGCAAGTACAGAGCCCTGAGTTCAAACCCCAGTACCTCATCCACATACACAAAAATCTTTTCAAGAGTAGCTTGAACAGTGCTCAATGCTTTCTTATGCAGCTGATGAAAGGAAGCAAGCACCTATCTTTTCCACAGCACGGTGAACTGTCATACTCTTTTCAGGACCAGCTTCCAACATTATACTTTTTGGGCTTTCAATGTCATGAAATGTTTCCAGAGGTTCCTTTAATGTAAAATCTTAGGCTGGTGTCACTTCCTCATTCTTCATGTCACACCATTTCCTCATTTATGTCAATAGGATAGCCTTCACTAAGGTCCTCTGGCAACAAATCTAGTCTCTTGAACACTGGCAGTGTCAACATCTCTACCGTCAGCTATATTTTCTATAATACCCTGTAAGTTTGATTTGAGTTTCATTTCTAGCAAGACTACTTTTTATTTCTCTGCTTTATCTTAATCTCTTTTGGCCAACTGCCTCTTTTGATTATCCACTTTTATAAAAGCTCACACAGGTTCATCACTGGGAAGGAAGGAAGCAACACAACCGTACACTTTCCTTTCTGTACATGAACTCAATAACAGGTGCACACTGAGACAGGTCACTTTGAGAAAAGTGACATGACTGGTCACTGATCATAAAGTACACCTGCTATATAAGTAGTGCTTAGTGAACTGAAAAGCCAGCAGTGGAGTTTATGTGCAATTCTCAGTGTTAATATCCTGCTGGAACTGAAATTTGTGCTACACGAACTGTGCAAAGTGAGGGCTGCACAGAATTGATGTACATTACATGACTGCAGAATGCAGACAGAAGCTGTGATGAGTCTCCTTTGGAGATTTTCTTAAAGAAGCAAATCCTAAGGGTTTAACGCAAGAGGATCAAAAAATACTATAATCTAGGGAAAGAGGGGACCATGTTTATAGCAAAGCAAACTAAAAAAAAACAAAAAAAACAAGTGTGTTTATTCTACCTGAAAAAGGGACTGTGAGCTACAGATGTAGTTCTCAAAGTGGGGTACCTAGACTAACAGCACCAGCAGTACCTGAGAACATGTTAGAAATGCAAAGTCCTAAATCCTATTTTAGAACTATTAAATCTAGGGTAAGTGCTAGGGCTCTCCATTCAACAAGTCCTTCAAGTGTTTTTTTTTTCTTATTTTTTTAATTAGAATATATTCGTTGTACAGGAGGATTCATTGTGACAATTCCAAATAGGTTTATATTGTACATTCGTTATATCACCCTTCTACTCCCTCCCCACTGTGCTTAAAGCAATTGCGAGAGGTTTCTTTGTTCTATTTCGTTTAAGTTTATGAAGTCCACCCCCCTCATTAGTACCCCACCCCCCACTATACCTATTTTACAGTCCTGTCTTTCATTAATATTTAAGTCAATGTTCCAAGGGATTTCTCAATCCTGTGTGAGTCTACTTGACTTTTGTCCATTCAACCCCTTCCATTGCTCTCCCTTAGCATTTATCTCCCATCCTCCATTTCTCAACAGCTTTCGGTACACATTCTTAGCTCCTCTACCTTCACAGGTGTTATGTCTTATTATTCTGTTGATGTGCCACCATTCTCTCTTCCTGCCCCTCCTTTCAGAGTTCCACAGAGTAGGTCCACTGTTACAAACATGTTCTACCTATGAGTTTGTATATGATCATGCTTGTTTTTGTGTATATGTTTATCTTTTGGATCTATCTTCCATGAATAGAGAGAAAACATGCGGCTTTTGTGTTTCTGAGTCTGGCTTACTTTTCAAGTTATTTTCTTGAACATTGTTCTTAAATTAAAAGAGCACTGTAACACTAAAAAACAAACCTAAGACTCATAGATGCTTTTGAAATAGTGCTTTAAAATGTACTTCTGTGTTTGGGGTGCAGCTCAGTGGAAGAGTGCTTGCATAGCATGCAGAAGATGCAAAAGCCCTGATTCAATCCCCAGAAAAACAATGAAAACACTAAAAAGTATCCCTGTATACACAGATCCATATTAAAACTAAAAGCAACCCAAAAGTCTGTAATCATACAATACATGCTTTTTTTTTTTAAACCATACAGTTGTCAGAGAAACCAATATATTATCCCATCACATTAAAATGAATGGCACATAAGTAGATAGGATTCACTAAGGTTAAGTGGCACACAGAGCAATGAGTACTTAGGACTTGTAAGAATATCTTAGATGAAGTAATACACACAGTTGACAGTAGTTTTATCTGTTAAATAGTACTGTAAAAAATGAATTTCCATTACCTGTCAGTACTTTAAAAAGGTTCACTGATAAGTTTGTTTTTAGTCCTTTTCTAAAGTGAATGTGGCTGGCAACTGCTTTCAAGTAGCTTATGTGGAGACTGTTAGAGTGAAGCTTTTGAAGGAACATTAAAATCATGGTTGCTGACGGAAAACTACATCAAGCTTCCAGCAGTATGTATAAAAGAGAAGGCGAGGGGTACTGTACCACCAAGAAGAGAATTTAGCCACTTCCTTTCTGGGTTATGCAGACAAAATGAATCAATTACCATATAATCTAACACAAAAACAAAATATTGATTATCCAAAATGGGGGTAAAATTTCAAGTGAATAACCTTTTTTGGGGATTAGGCAAAAAAAAAAATACACATCATTTATTACATATAAGGTTTTATGAAAACACAGCTTCATCAGACTCTGACTTTATACTATTTATTGTCGAATAGGAAGAAAGGGATAGGGTAAGAAAGAACAATCAAGCAGAACCTAACAAGTGACAAGAGAGGTGAAAGGCAATGCATTTAGAGATCAAAGGAAAAGACTATATAGAAGAGCAGCCTAATTTGGTTGGGACAAACGGAGGTGTACAGCATTAGGCATTCCAGTGGGAGGAACACATGAATAATGATCAGTAAGCACTCTGTCACATAAGGTGAGTTCAATGTACACAATCAAACTCCTGTCTAATTCCCTCCCCCTCAAAACATCAGACCAAAATGAAGTACCAAGCCATTTCATCAGGGCAATATTTGAGATTGTAGAGACAATGTCATTATAAATTTAAGAAAATTTCTAAATATATGTATCAATTAAATAATAACCTAATTAAATAGTACTTTTATTTATTTATTTATTGGTGGGACTGGGCTTTGAACTCAGGGCTTTGTGTTTACAAAGTAGGTGCTCTACCACTTGAGCCAAAACTCCAGTCCTTAAATAGTACTTTTAAAAGAAACTTGTTAGAAAACACACCTGTATTTTAAAATAAGCAACCCAAAAGTCTGTAATCATACAACAATACATGCTTTTTTTTTTTTTTTACCATACAGTTGTCAGAAAAACCAATATATTATCCCATCATATTTATGTTCAGCTAAACAGATATGGAAAAGGGAAAAATAAAATGTTTGACATCACGAATTCTACCTTGCTGTTTAATTCTGGATTAGGAGTGGGGGTTAAGGCAATTAAAAACAAAAAATACAGAATGGAAATATTTGTAATTGAACTTAAATGTATGCATTGACGAGGGAATTAAAAAGGAGAACAAAGACTTATATAACTTACCAACATAAAATGAGCAGTTAGAATGCAATAAACTTTCAGTCCATAAGCGACAAAGTTCACTTTCAGTTAGAGCTTCAACTCCATAACAACCTTGATATTCTACTTTTGGCAGGACATAAACTGGAAATTGCTGCAATGCAAGATTACACTTTTTCAAAGCTCCATTAATTTACTATGAGTAGCAAATATATCTGCCTACACTGCTTTGCAGATTTAAAATGCTTTTAGGTAATCTTATTTCATCCTTCATATAGAGTGGGATTCAGGCAGAAAGATGGATATATTTGAGCCTGATGGATAGAAGAACCCTTAGTATATTTAGGCAAAAGGTGGATGGATAAAGGAGATCCCTTACCACCACCCCCATCCCCAACACAAATCAATATACATATGCATATATTTGTTTTTTGTTAGAAAATGTGACTGACAGCAGAATCCTTGGTACAAAGCCTATCATACATAACTGTTCAAAGCTTCAAAGATAGATGCTAGAAAGCAATGACTGCAACATACACTAATAATCCTCAAAAGGATAGAAAAGGAAGAAGTTTTGCCCCTTTAAGCATTAGTCATGCTATCTCAGACTCAAATACTCTCAGTAGCTTGTTTGCTTCCCATGAATGAATATCAATACTTCAATACCTGTGGATATTATTATCTTTACTAAGACAAAAGGCTCTATTCCAGATCCTAAGTATCTGACAAGTTATATTCAGAGTTTATTGGTCAGAATACTAAATAGATCAAGTAAAATGACCATACCTACCTGGGCTTATTCCTATAATCCTAGTTACTTGGGCAGCTGAGATAGGAAGATTACAGTTCAAGGCCAGCCCAAGCAAATAGTTTGTGAGACTTCATCTCTAAAACAACCAGAGCAAAATGGACTGGAGGTGTGGCTCAAGTAGTACAGTGCCTGCTTTACAATCACAAACCCCCAATTTCAAACCCCAGTCCCACTAAAAAAAAAAAAAAAAAAAGTCACACTCATTACTGGCCTAAAGGAGGATATGTAAAAAAAAAATACATACATATATGTATACAAATACATGTGTGTGTGTGTGTATATATATATTCATATTATATAATGATATAATACATATTATTATTTCACTCTTTCCAGCTACAGAAGAAGAAACATATGATTTAGGGAACTTAATTCAAAGCGATATGGATAGTTAGCACTTTTGAAGTCATACCAAGGTACGCCATTTACAGATTTGAAAATACCTCACCAAAGTTTCTGAATTCCTGATTTTCTTGAAGTGGCTAAATGAGTGGTCTTGGTACAATGATGGTGTTAAGAACAACTCAAAACCAATCAAGTTTCTGTTAACAGCATATGCAAAGTATGGTTCAGATGATTACCTCTGAATTTTGTAAAACCTTACAGAAGTGATGCTTAATGTCTCTGTGAATAAGAATACCCCAGATGGAGAATCTGGGATGGTGCCCAGGGTTTTGCATTTTTAACAAGACATTATTCCAGACACTATACTTTGAGTAGTAAGGCCCCTTAAGGGTCTCCTCAATTTAGAAAATATAAATTGTGGTTAGGATTATTATTAAAATCAATTTACTGCATACTAATTCTTCAGCATATGACTTAGGTTCTATTCAGCAAATAAAAGCTAAAGCTAAAGAATTAAAGGCCCAGAGGAATAAAAAAATGTGCTTAAGGACATAGCTGGTTTATAGGACAGGTGCAAAAGAATAACTGATTTTCTAAAAAGAATCAGCTTTCTGGATCATAAATGGGCCACAGAGTTATCAACATGTTTTTAATGGTAAAAAATATACTTATTTCTGGAAAGCTTACCTTAAAATATGTATACTCTGGAAAATTTTCTTCAATAATACTGCCATATCTATGAAACTAAAACCTGGTTTTAATTTATGTATGTCTTCTACTGCCATCTCCAGGAAGCCAGGGGAAAAGGACTGAATATTTTATCTTTCCTTGGTACTTTAAAGTTGAAAATTTACAATCAAGAATTTAATAAAAAAAATTAAATTTACTGTTTTCTCTCCCCCTTAATAGGTGGCTCCTATTTCTCCAAGTAAAAGCTTTTCTTGGCTCTCTCTTCTAATTTTTCATATAAGTCTCTTAAACCCTTACATGCCTTCCTAAATAGGTATTTCATAGCTAGTATCTTCTCATCAATTCCATTAAGTGCCTTCTATTCTTCTTAACATTTATCACCTTTAGGAATCTTTATTCTGGTACAACATAAGTTTTAAATAACTGAGTCTAAGTCTTTTAGCCATTCTAAAATATAGCACTTGGGCAGTTAATATCAAATCACCTAAAGTTATTTGGTCTGGATTTCATAACTATGCATAGAACTCAGTAAGCTCCAGTTTTATTCGGTGATCCAAATTAGCCCCTTCATTTCATTCTATCATTGACACTGGTTTCTGCTAGATCTCCTTGGAAATACAGCTCTTATTAAGCAGAGGTTTGATGAGGAAGTGTAAATGATACTGGGCACTAAAATCTCAACTACAGTATTAGAACAAAGAGTCAAAGGAAAACAAGGAAAAGATGAGATTCTTGAGCACCAAAGGTTAAAGAGACTTCTAAGAATTTTAAAGCTTTATCTACACAAGCTGTTTTGGAGTAGGAAGTATCGATAAGGATGCATTCTTAATTAGTTTAAGAGTAGCATTAGAAATTTCAACCTACTGCTGTTGTTAACCTCTCTTAAGTTCCCTTCTTTAACAATACTCCTGGCTTCCCAACTCCTCAATTTTTCTCATCTATTCAGAATCTATTAACTGAATTTCTATAGTATAAAACATTCAATAGAAACAGAGATGAATGAATGGGGCATGACTCCAAGGGGTATACATTCTGCTCTGGAATTTAAACCATTATAAACAATGACAGTTGCAACACAAGTAGCATTCCCTGAAATTTTATTCTGAGTCCGACATAATCAAAAATATAAGACTTTTACTTAGATATGTCTTGGGGCTCAGTTGTTCTGACATATTCTGAAGAATGAATTTTCTCCTACAATGTTTTGTCTTGAAATTTACAAATTTCACTTTAGTCAAGTGAATGACAATGTTCTTACCAAGTTGCTTGGTCAAGAATTAAATTCCCTAAGCTATTTTTTTTTTTTGTGGTACTGGGGCTTGAACTCAGGGCCTATACATTAAGCCATCCTACTAGCCCTTTTTTTGCATTTATGTCACATTTATTTATTTTTTTATTTTATTCAAATGTGCGTGATTTTTTTTTTTTTTTAGATAGGGTCTCTCAAACTATTTGTCTGGGCTGACTTTGAACCATGATCCTCCTGATCTCTGCCTCCTGAGTAGCTAGGATTACAGGCATGAGTCATTGGTGGCCTGGCTGCCTAGGCTATTCTTAAAGAGTTACTGGCCATCGACAATTTCTAAGTACTGTAGGCTAAAAGAAAAATACAAAGTGGTTGGTTCACAGGGGAGTAAGTGAAAGAAATAAGGTTAGCCCCCAAATAAATGGGCTAGCAAATAAGAATTATAGAATTACAACCTTGAAAATGCAATGTATACAATCAATACTATATATATTCGGAATGTTCAAGCTTATTGTTATTAAGTTTATCACAGAATAGATGAGGCAGGAAAAATAGCAAATAAAGTAAAATTTCTTAATTCAGAGAATAACAGCATTTATCTAGGAGAAGATGAATATCAAACCTATTTTTTTCATTCCTTGATTTTCTTTTATAAATAACACTCCGCAGGGGCTGGAGAAACTGCTTTCTTAGCATGCATATATACCCTTGGGCTCCAACCACAGCACTAAATTAAAACAAACTAAAACCAAAAAAAAAAGAAACAAAGGTACCATCCCATAAATTTTATTCAAAACCATTTAGTTTCTAAAATTTCAAGTTTGAACCAACGATGAAAACTAAACTATAACAATTAGGAATTTAATAATTTACTCATGATCTTCCTTCTATTTACAAAAGATAAAAACATCAAACAAAAGTTTCACCAGGCCCCTTGGACTCTGATGGACAAAGCTTGTATATTAGATCTGGATGTATTAGCTCTGGAGTTTTTCATGGTAGTCAGTCCCTCGCACAGCTCTATTAGCAGTGTAAAAACGTTAGTATCTTTAACAAGATGTAGTAGTAAGGAAGCACTCGCTCAAGATCCATGTTGCAACATCACTATTTTTGATTTATCTGGTCTCTATCCCAAAACACACCGACATTTTAAAGTGGTCACGGATGACTCTTATTGGGTAGTTGATTTGATAGCAAGACACGAAAACTTATTAAAAAGGTTATTGCAACAGAAAACATTCTCTCTAAAAAAAAAAAAAAAAAAGGCATTTCAACACTTTTTACACAATTACAACACAGAAGTCTCTATTTACCAGAATTCAGTACTCATACATAAAAAAAAAACTGAAAAAAATTTCAAATATTATCTACAAAAATTTTGAAAGAAGCAATTACTCAAAAAAATAAAATAAAAAAAGAAAGAAGCAATTATTCATATTGTAGTAATTTTTTTAACTATGGAAAATGTTTCTATTAAACTCCAAAAGAAACAACAGGGGACAGAGGAAGAGATTTGGTCTTCTAATAATTCTGGAAATACTTCAAATGTGTTTGAAAGCTCATCTTTCAAAACTTGTACTTCTAAAACAATTCAAGAGCCCAAAGCAGAGAGAGAAAGGGGTTCAGATGTCAAAATGGACATCTAAATCCAGGGGAAACAGGACTATCTATGTCAATCTAGGTCAAATCTATGATTCTGTAGTTTTTCATAAAGTTTATATGGCCTATGCAAGGATGTTACTGCATTTATGACTATTAAATACAATTAAGCACTTTCTCTTATTAAAATTGATCTCAATATTTTATTTAAAAATTCAATCTGGAAATACTGTAAGAGTGATTAACAATTTAAAATTAAACTTCTTAGTAATGATATGTTAAAATATTTGTTGATTATTAATTTATACTATCACATCACAACTACCCAAAAAACGACTTACTCTTCTGATTTTCTTGCGTTTTTTAGATCGTGGTCTTGTCTCTATCCTCTGGACACTGCATCGCACGAGTAACAACAAGTCTTGTAGGCTAAATAGCTTATAAACAAAATTTCCTTCTTGAGGAGCTAGGTATTCCGATGTATCTTCAACATAGTCCTGAAGTTCATATGGCAATCCTTAAAAAATATTTCTCATTATTTTAAAATACATTAGTCCTTTGTTCACCCAGGATAAAACAAATCAATTGTTTTTTAAAACTTTTATCAATTTTTTTTGAGACAGGGTCTACTATGTAGCCCAGATTTGCCTTGAACTCATAATCATCCTGCCTCAGCCTTCCAAGTGCTGGGATTATAGACCTGAACCATGAGGCCTAGCCAAAGTACTGTTCTTTTTAATTATTACCTTCATTAACTCTAGGCAATGTATAAATTGCTGAGACAGTATACTATGTGAAGAGAATAAAGGAGTTTGAAAAGTGATGTTACTCGTAATCTGGGAAGAGCTGAGGAAATTTACATTTATTTCACAAAATTAAAAAGTACAAAACTACAGTTCAATACAGATATACATGAATTGAACTGATCAATGTTTGTGATTATTTTTTATGTACTTTTCCTTCATCAGCGTGACAACCACATTACCTATAGTTCAGTGCTCACTGTATGCATTAGATAAATGTAGGTTACAAAACCCATAATCCTTTGAGCAAATATCTAGAGAGAACATTATGGAAGATGGAGTACTGATGAATAGACTAAAAAATGAAATATTGGTGACCAGGTAAGCATTACAAAACAGGATATAACAGAGAATGTGAAAGAAAGAAGAAGAACTAGGTAAAAGAAACAGATAAAACAGCATTAAGTTCTTCATAAGTATTTACTTACGTCCTTTTGGTTTCTGAAATGCAGAAGGCCATCTAGATTTTGGCCAACTAGAGGCATCTGAAGGAGCACAGGACTGGTCTGAAACTGGTGGTTGTTTAAAATCTTCTAAATTTATTAAGGGCAACTCAGGTACTCTTCTGGAAATTGGCTTTAAGAGTTCATCCTGCATTTTTAAAATTTCTCCAACTGGATCAAATTTTTTATATACTCGTTTGATAGGTTTTTTTAAAACACAGGACTCTTCAGGACTGTAAGTAGAAGCAGTATGGTCTCCTACAGAAGGCTGTCCTGAGGAAGAATTTGGAGTTGCTGATCTAGAACTCCGATTAGAACCCACAACATCCGTCTTTCCATCATTATTACTTTTGCACTCTGTGTCAATGATTAAACAATCCTCATCGGTATCACTATTGCAAGGAACTGCTTTCTCAGGGTTAGCTGTTTCTGAAATAGCAGCTTTTTCCTTTGAATTATCTGTGTTCTCCACAGCATTTAGACTTTCTTCATTGGCATATACCATAGCTGCAGCCGTATCATTTTCATTAGAGTTCTCAATTTCCTTAGAACTTTCTGATGACAAGGCATCAGATGTTATCATGTCATTATCTTGCATCAAAGGCTTGTCAGAATCAGGTACCTTTTCACCACATGGCATAGTTCCTTGATCATCTTTATTTTTGCACTCTTCAGGGCCACTTTCAATACCAGTGACCAGTTGTTTCTCCTTTTGCAACTGCTCCATCAGAATCTGAGATAAGCTTCTAGAATTAGCAGATGTGTTTGGTGTAGTAGGTGCCACAGGCATAGCTGTTGCTCTGGGGGCTGCAGGAGTACCTGCCGTGATGGGTACGGAGGAAGTACTTGGACTTGGTGGCTTTGATGGCTTGGTGGTGGCTACTCCAAACGTTTCAAGTTCTGTGACATCATCATCAAAATCCAGATCCAAATTTTCAAGAGTCTCAATTTTTCGGCACTCATTAACTTCACTGGATGTCTTGGAAGAAAATGTATTGGTAAATTATTAGTCAACATGTCAGACCATACCTTACCTATCTCTTAATGTCCACTTATCCCTCACATACATAGTTCATGTTTTGAAATGCAGAAAGAAGTCTAATGACTCTAAACCATTCTTAAGATGACAACAAATTACTCACAAGTATTTAATCTCAATTTCCATTGAAATATTCATTAAAACCAACAAAATCTCCAAGTTGTTAGCAGCACAGGAAACAGTAAGGAATTCCCAAAGAACACTAATTAATCACCTGCTAAATATAAACACTAACCTACACCCACTGGGCTTAGAGAAGAACCTTAGCGCTAACTTGCTCCCAAGAAGCAACACAGAAACTGGAGAAAGCCATCCTGGCTCCATAGAGGTCCCAAACCAAAGGAATCTCAAAGTCCTCAAATGCAAGAACTTAAATAAAAGGTAAGTTAAAGAAAAAAAAAAAAAAAAAAGATTTCACTAATCAGAAAACAGAACCACCAAGAAGAAATGTAGGGCCAAACAGGAAGGCGGATGTTCATGCCCACTTCATATTCTGGCAGCGAAACTTGACTCAGCCTCTTTGCTGTTGTGAGGAAGCTCATTTGTAATGTAGCCAGAGAAATGTAACCAGTCTCTAGTGCATCCTTACGTCAATTAGTCACATACTTTTTTTACTGCTATTCATGGCAACCAACTTTAAGTAATATAAAATCGGGCGGAAATGGACAGAAAGTATTTTATTGTATTCTGGAACATGAAGTCATTAAGATTGTAGTTCTTCATGTACTGTTCTGGTAATGGAAGAACTAGACACAGCTTCAATTTATTCAGAAATATACTTGCCCCATCCCTACTAGACAAACAAGCACCAGAATCTCTCTCCTCAATCTGGCAGATATATACTATGGAAATCTGTTATGGGCTATGTACACCACTAACCTTTCAGTTTAAGATTTGAAAGAAAGACTAACAGCAATCAGATTTTAAGAAAGCTCAATTTATGTAAGTTACTTAATCTCTCTGAGTCTTAAATTCCTATTTCTAAAATAGGAGTACGATTATTTTTCAGATTTGTTCTAAAGATTAAATGACAAATTATATATAAGAAATTTTCTGGCAGACAGAAACACAACTGTATTTCATTGACTAGTCTCTAAGTAAGCAAAAACAGGGATACAGAAAGTATGAACAACATTAATTAGATGACAGAAACAAATATAGGTGAGTGACTGAAAACATATGTTGTATATACAGACTACAAAGATATACCCTTTTCCTCCCAAGAATCCAAGAGGCGTTTCTAAAGATGGACTATAAGTTAAAATACAAACACAATCTCAACACTGTACAAAGCAGAATCTGTTTAGAGGGAAATAAAATTAGAAATCATTAAGAAAAGTCTAAACAACAAACTCAAAGCACTCAGTAATTACAAAGCATTCTGAATTTCGAAGAGACAAAAATCAGAATTTCAGAATTCTAAGTAATATACATTACAACACTAGACATTAAAAATCAGAAGAACCATCATCTGAGACTCAGTATTACATTATCTTCTTCTAAGAATTATTTTCATTTGCTTTTGCTAGGAGTCAGGTGGATACCATACCAGCCCAGAAGCATCATGTTGCAAATGTGAAATATAGCCCCAAACCCATTTACTTCTGGCCCACCGTACTCACAGGGTATGCCCTGTGGAGACGTTAACTCTGGCTCTTGTTCCCCTAGTCCTGTGATGCTGCCAAAAGCACAGCTCATTTCTCAGTTGCCTCTCAGAAGCAGTAAAAACTGGCTAGGGAAAAAATTACCTTAGGAAAAAGCCTTGCCTCCTGCATTCTTTTTCAGTATCTCAACCCTGTAATTCCTCACTATCTCTTTGATGCTTCTAAAAAAGAAATTTTTACAATTTGTCCAACAGTATTTTTTAGTTGCCACCAGTACTGGGAAGGTCAAAATTACCCAGCCTATCATTACTAAATGAAGTCACTCTGCCATTTTTTTATCTCTCTTAACCTATGCTTCTTTGCAGCATTTGTTACTTCCTGACATTCACTTCCCACCAATAAAAGATCTGCGTATGTTTTTTAAAAGTAAAATGTGAAAGAATAAAATGTAAGAAAAGTTGGAAGGGCTTAATGACATACATATTGTAAAAATATTGTGGCAACTGGCAAAGAGAAAAACATAAATAGAAAAATCAAAAGACCAATTCCTTAAAAATGTATGAGCTTGTAAGTATAAGGGAAAACTTTATATTTTCTTCTTAAACTTTGTTTGCCTCCTCACTTCCCGCAAGTCTCTGTATTTCCTGTTTTCAGGCCCTCTTGGTCATGTCATGAGAAAATATTCCATCCCCATCCAACTCTGTTTCCCCTTAACCTGTCCTACTTTCCTCTACAGAATTTATTACTATCTGTTTTTTGCTGCTGCTTATTAAATATCTGCCTTCTACCACTAATGTAAGTGCCAAGAGAAAACACCTTTTCCACTGCTATATCCTCACTGCATACCACAGAATCTACTCAATAAGTATTTGCAGAATGACAGAATAAAAGCAAATATTTACAGAGTGCCAAGTGTTACTCTAATGCTTTACATGTATTAACTCATTAAAACCCAAACAACTATGAGTTAGTTAACATGATGCCCATCTTACAGATGAGCAAGATAAACAAAGAGTTTATGTCAAAGTACCTTCACATTCATCTGGACTTGAGGATTGAAGGTTCTGACCTATAGACGTAAGCTGTGCATGTTCACCTAGTATCATGTAAACACAATGAATATTTGTACAAACAAGTAATAATAGTTTTGAATAATTTACATTTGTTTTTATATGCCTAAAATTCCAAGTTTAAGAATACTTCTATCTATTTTGTCTCATCTGTGACCTCTGTAAATCATTTAACTATGTAGAAGAAGAATTTGGTTTTGAGATTTGGAGTCCATTTGAACGAGTCTTTGTAAAATAAATTATTTTACAGTTCTGCAACATATACTTAGAAGATGACACGTGTAATCTCTATGAAGCAAGACTTTTTTTTTTTGGACAGGTAACAACTCTTCATCTTTATGGAGTACAGTGTCATGTGTTGGTACACTTATGCATTATGTACTGATCAACTCAGGATCTGAAGGTTATCCTGCCCATCTCAAGCACTCATGTCTTTGTGATGAGAACATTCAAACTCCTCTCTTCCTGCTTTTCTGAATTATATAATGCTGTTAACTGTAATCACTTTTCTGTACAACAGAACACCAGAACTTATTTCTCTTAATTTGCTGTGACTTTGTATCTGTTAACCAATTTCTCCCCATCTCCCCTTCTCCTCTACCCTCCTTGGTCTCTGGAAACCACTATTCTGATTTCTGCTTCCATGAGCTCAGATTTTTTAGATTCTACATTTAAGTGAAATCATGCGTTTGTGTATATGAGTCTGGCTTATGTCACTTAGCATATGATCTCCAGGTTTATCCATGTTGCTGCTAATAAGGATTTTTTTCTTTCAAAAGGCGGACCAGTATTCCAATGTATTTCTATACCACATTTTCTTTATCCATTCACCCATTACTGGACACACTGGGTGAGTCCTTATTTTGACTATTGTGAATAATGCTGAAGTCAACATGGAAGTGCAGGTACCTCCTTGATACATTGTTTTCATTTATTTCTTTTAAATATGTATATCCAGAAGTGGGATTGCTGATCACATGGTACTCCTGTTTTTAACTTTTTGAGGAACCTCCATATTGTTTTCCACAGGGGCGATACTAATTTACATTCTCAACAACAATGTGCAAGAGTTCTCCTTTCTCTACATCCTTACCAGCATTTGTCATTTTTTATCTTTTTGATTGTATCCATTCTAACCAGGAGAGATGGTATCTCACTGTGGTTCTGATTGACGTTTCCTAATGATTAATGATGCTGAACATTTTGAGAAATGTCTATTCAGATCATCTCCCTACTTTTTAAATTTTTATTTTGGTGAGTCATAAAAACCTAAAAAGTGTAACATTAATGGTGTGCCATGTAGTGTTTTGATGCGTGTGTCATAAAGACTTGTAATACACTCTGGGCTTCAAAAAGATAAACAAGGACCTTCTCTTAAGGGAGGGAAAAATTAAAAGGGATTACATACGTCCATTTCAGATACACACTCCTCAGGTTTGTCCATAAATACTGCAGAGACTGGAACAGATGTGTTTTTAGACATCATAAATTTTAATGGAACTTCATGGAAGATTTGATTTCTTTCTCTCATTGTCATCTGCTTTTGGGGAAGTGGTGAGTTAATATAAATTACTTTAACTGGCTTGGAACCTTAAAACAGAACATAAACAAAGGGGTTATTAGTATCTAGTAGCTGCTTTTGCTTTGTTTGGCAGTCCTCATGATTGAACCCAGGGCCTTGTGCATGCTAGGCAAGGGCTCTACCAGTGCACTGCACATCCCCAGCCTCTTGTTTGTATTTGTTTCTGAGACAGGGTCTTGCTAACTTTACCCAGGCTGCCCTTGAATTTGTGATCCTCCTGCCTCTATCTCCAGAGTAGCTAGAATTTACAAGCACACACCACCATGACTGTTTTCTAGTAGTATTATTTTAAAAATAAAACAAAACAAAAATAAACAAACCAACAAAAAACAAAACCAGGTGCATGACAGAAGGATTACTGAACAAAGAGACATAGGGTAGGGGGATGGGAGCACATAACTCATGTATCTGCCACTCTTGGACTAGAAGATTTTAAAGTTCCTTAGAGACTCAAAGAGAAGAGAACTAATGGGCAAGGGAAATATGGTCTCTTTTCTCACAATGTTTAAAAAGGGTTTTGGGAGGTTTTTATTGGTGTACTCTTACTGTTACTATTACCCAGTTCTTTCAAGAACATGCAAGTGATGAAATTTTTACCATAAAGAGTACGTTTAATTCTAATTTGTAGTTTTGTTTAATTAGACATAGTCCTTGATTTATTGTATTTGTTATATTTAATAATATTAATCAGGAAGATATATAAAATTGTTAAATATAAACCAGAACAAAAAGGGGTAGATAATCTTTTGAGTAGAGAAACTAATATACAAATATTAATTTTATTGTCAAAAGATTTTGAGACTATCCTGCTAAATATAAACCTACATTTACTCTCATTTCCAAGGAAGTTAAATACTGGAAATTTACTCGCTGCAGGTCATCTAATAAAATACTGCATTCCTTCATTCCAGTGAAAGGCATCAGAACCTCACCATTTCATCTCTGGTCACACCAAGTTACACTAAGTCACCCAATATGACTACACATACTATAGACTTAAAACTTCATTTAGGAATCTATTTTATAGTAGCTTTATATTCAAAAAAGTTCTGACAAAAAGCTGTCAATTTATATTTGCTTTAAGTCAACATTTAACTTTGTGTTTAACAAATGACCATTTATGTTTAGACAGCTGAAATTGAATAGTTTCAACCTCTCTTTTGAGAGCATTACTTGACACAGGAAATCACAAACCTGCAACAGGTATTACTTGAACACACACTGGAATTTCCCATTGTTCCTTGTAGCTTGGTCCATGATTATTTAATAAGGTGAATAATGACTGACTAGTTAGAGCTATCTGAGGATGATATCTTGAAACAAGCTTCTCTGCATTTGGATCTTTACTAATATCCTGAAAAACAAGAAATAAGCTTTTAGTTATTATTTAGAAATTGTAAATTTCTTTGATAAAGTAATGAAGAGGAGAAAGAAAGCTATGCAAGAGACATTAGAACAAACAGGCTATGTGTCTTTCGTGAGGTACAGATTATTGAGGAATACCCAAAGCCACCTTGCTACTTACATAATGCATAGCTTCAGCTGTTTGTTTTGGCATTTCAACGGAAGACATGTCATCTTTTGAGAGCTGCAATTTTGCAGGCATTGAGGGAAATACTGTTTTCACAAATTTAACATTTCCCTAAATACGGAAAAATTGCATGTGTTATTGTAAAAATTCTGACATATTTTTTTCCCTAAGAACAGTATCTTTCATCACAGGAAATTCAAATGTCAAATTTAGAACCTCTTTAAGCCAAGACATTTATTCATGTTATTGCTTGACAAGCACCACCTATGTTTTTTGTTTTTGGTATTTTTTAAAAGGTGCAAGAGAAGGGTTTCATGCAATTTTTCTGCCACTTTAAATTCCATTTTCTCTTTTAAAGAGAACCAATGATAGGAGGGAATAGTGGAAACTCTAAAAATACTCTCTCCACACACTTATTTCTAGTATGTTTGTGAACAAATTTCCTTTAAAGAGCTTCCTGCTTGCATTCAGGAGCATTAAAGACAATGGGAAAGTTAGCAGAGCTATTTTTAAAACATCAGGTATTTGGATCCATAAAATAAACACAGATTGTGTTACATACTCAAAAATTTATCTCATTATTGCTCAAAATTTAAACACAATATCTACATGAAATAGAGATGATGTTTCAGACCAAAAATTCTTACCAGTACAAGAAGAGTCTTTTCTAACTTTAATCCCATCTCTATTCTGAATGGGAAAAATCCCATTAAGCTGGTGACTTCATGGAGTGTATAAAATTCTGGATACTTTTTTACTTGTTCAATGCAAGCTCTTAAAATTTGCTAGAAAATAAAAATTAATAAAAATTTATTTGTATTATATTTCTCTGACAAGGCAACAAAAACATGCTAGTGACATGTGACTACAGAATCATACACTGCAAAAGTTAGAGCCATTTCATTAATTAGGCTTCCAACAATCCACAAGCATTGTATATTCCTTATTTTATTTAATCTTAGCTTTCATAACAAATTTTTAACCTAATTTCCTAAAATACTTATATTGAGTCATACTAAAATTAGCAGTCTTATTAAAATTTAAAGTTAGAGAAGACACATATTTTAATGTACTGCAATGAAAGCAATTACATGAATGATTAGAAATAAATAAGTTTAATACTCTAAAAGGATTCCCAAGTACAATTAATGAAGTAGTGTTCTTACATGTCATTCTAATCTATAACCTAAAAATAAATGAAATACTGTAACTAATTCATATGATGAAGTATTCAGTATTTTCTTCTCCAGTTTTACAAATATTAATGACTTATTGGAAAAGAAATAACCCTCACAGCTTTACCCAAGAAACATATATGTCAATTGTGATAACATGTAAATAACTCAGAGAGACAATGGCTATTGGTGGGGGAAGTGTTTATAATTAAAACATATATTATCTTATGAGATACATATTTTTCTTCTGTCAATGAAGACTGTCTGAACCTTTTAGAATACATTTTTAATCACAAAAGCTCTTAGCAGTAAGCAAATCTTTTTATCTATATTCCCTCTCCTTTCAGATATTTGTAAAATGTCTCATTGTAAATCAGTAATTTTACTCCAGGATATCTCTTCATTTATACTTTCATATCCTTTTTGCAGTCCCTACTCTCCACTATCTTTAACATTTTCTCCCTCCATCCACACCTAGGATATTGCTCAAAACTAATACAGATGTGGGCTAATATGGAAAAGTTGGTTATAAAAACGCTCCACTAAAAACCCCTACCTGTATAATATCTTTGCTCCTTATTTGTAATACTAGTTAACCTTCCCCTCCTGTGGTAGTCATTACAAGAATGTGAACATGCAAAGCAAAGCAATACATAAGAATTAAGTAACAAGGACTATTCTAGTTAGATATTTATTGGCAAATCATTCTTGGTAAATTTGCACTGGATGTTACAGTGCTTTTAACTGAATTTCACTTAATTTATTATTTATGTAAGAGAAAGTGAAAGGAGTATCTAAGAGTTTTACACCTGTACTCTGATATACATTATCTATAGTAGTGTCCTTCTTTACCTATTGTTTCATGTTTCAGTTTCAGCGACCTGCTGTCAACCAAGAACTAAAAATATTAAATGGAAAATTCCAGAAATAAGTATAATAGGCTTTACACCGTGCACTGCTTTGAGTAGCATGATAGGAATCTTGTAACATCCGGCCTATTCTGCTCAGCATGGAAAAAATTCCTTTGTCCAGCACATCCACACTGCATATGCTGCAACCAGTTGGTCACTTAGAAGACATCTCAGTTATCAGATGGACTGCTGTAGCTCTGCAGTGCCTATGCCCAAGTAAGTCAACAGCCTCGTGCACCATTGTAACACCTACATCATACACCTCAATTTCTCTCATCCTGTAGGCACTGTATCACCTCACATCAGGCAAAAGGATGGTGAATACAGAGGGATATTTTGATCAAAAAAAGACACCAAATACACCTACATTTTATTACAGTACATCATTATAATTGTTCTATGTTATTTTCAGTTATTGTTGTTAATCTCTTAGTGTACCTAATTTATAAACTTTACCATGGCTATGTATGTAGAGGAAAAACACAGTTTCTACAGGATCCAGTACTACATACATCTTCAGGCACCCAGAGGGTTTTAGAATATACTGTTCATGAATGAAGAGGAATTGCTTTGTGTAGTTGGATAATTAAAGATACAAACACACACCTTCATAAATATGCTACAGTATGTGACCTTGAGATGCTGGCATTTCTATTAATCCAGAACATTAAAAATACAAGGCCTACGTAAAACCTATTCTCTAAACTGACAAAACTGACCATTTCCTATGTTTTGGATGAGATCACCACACATTTCAGAATGCTGCACATTTTTGTTGTTTTTTTACCTCTGTGAAGAGACGGGCATCATCAGAAAGCATATTATAATCCTGAGCACATTTCTTTGCAGAATTCTGCAAAAACTTTAGGAATTCAGTAACTTCTTCATTCACATGTTTTTTCATATCCTGATTTTAAAAAAGTAGACATGGCATGGAATAAAGAACTTTATTTTTCAAAAAATCAGTTCTCAATCACTGTTCTAATAATTTGGGCTTAAAGAATAAAGTTCAAAGCAGAAACCACAAATAAAAATTTAATAAAAATTATTATATGAATAATGATAAACTTCTGTTATCAGGGCTGGGGAACACAGCTTAGTGGTAGAGTGTGGGCTTAGCAGGTGTAAGGTTCTGGGTTTAAACCCCAGCACAAAGAAACCCATAAAAACAAAGAAACAAACAAAAAAACTTTAAAAACTCTACAAAATAGAAAAGCAAATGATTAAATGTACTATAATACATTCTTAGAAATTCACAATCTTAGTATTGGCTTAGCATGCACAAGGCTCTGGTTTTGATCCCCAGCACTGCAGGGGGAAAAAAATAAAAAATGATTATGAACGTGGTAGTTTACATCTGTAATTTAGTTACTTGGGAGGCTAAGATCTGGAAGATCATAGTTTGAGGCCAGCCAAGGCAAAATTTTCATGAGGCTCCATCTAAACCAATAGCTGGATATTATTGCAGGGCCTGCCAGAAACTGAGACTGGGAGGATCACCAGAGACTGGAGAGAGAGAGGTTATCGAAGCACCATCTCAATGGAAAAAACAGGGTATGGTGGCATGCACCTTCATTCCAGCTATAACAGGAAGCTCAAAACAGGAGGAGCATAGTCTAGGTCAGCCTGGGCAAAAAAACGAGACCCAATCTCAAAAATAACCAGAGAAAAAAGGATTGGAAGCATGGTATAAGCAGTAGAGCACCTGTCCACCAAATGGAAAGCCCCGAGTCCCAAGCCCCAAAACCACCACCACCAGAAAAAAAAAAAAAAAAAACGCTCCAATAGAAAAATGAGCAAACAATATAAATAGGCAAAAGAAGTAAAAATGGTTTACAGATGCACAGAAGATGCTTATTTTATTAGTGATCAATACAAGTTAAATTAAGTTTAAAAAAAAAGAAATCATCATTATCCCCATATCCAATTAGAGGCAAAAACAGCAATATCCAGTATTAGGGGAAGATAGTTTTTTAAAAAAACAAAAACAACAACAAAAAAACTTTGGGGCTGGAGGTACGGCTCAAGGCTCAAAAGAAGCACTTGCCTATCAAACATAAGGCCCTGAGTTCAAACCCCAGTGCTGCAAAACAAACAAGCAAGTGAACTTTCATACGTGAGTGGTACAAATTAGTTTAAACTTTTTGCAGAACAATTTACCCAATGGTTAACTGTACGTTGAAATTCATATTCTTTGATCTGGCAATTTTATTTTTAAGAATCTGTCTTAAGGAAATAATCATAGATATAAGTAAAGATTACTTTGCTAAAAAGATGTTAAGCACAGCATCATAAATATAACTGGGAATTTGGAAACTATTTAAAGTAATAATTAAACAATAACTTAAAATTGAACCAATAAGTTGTGTAAAGTTTTATTGTTAGTATGTGAGATGAACCTGAGAGAGATGCTCAGAAGTAGAGCAAAATGGCTTAACTATATACAATAGAACAAACAAAAACATTAAAGTACCAATTAAACTCCTTACTCTTCTATTTCTGTAAATGAGTATAGCTAAAATAAAATTTAAAATATTTCCTGACTTTTAATATTTTTTACTGAATACATACCAAATACTGCAAATATTCATTTTTATTTATTCCAACAGATTTAGCATTTGCTGGCATCTTTGCATATTTAACCAACAAGTCCACGTAAGTCCTCTGCTCTCTCTGTGAGAAACGAGAGAAGCGAGGATAAGGAACTCTCGGCTTTGGAAGAAGAACCATTCCAACTTTTTCCTTTGCTTGAGTTGCTGAACTAACTGCTGGCTCATTTTCTACAGAACTTGCTGAGGCGTTCAGATTTTCTCCTATACGTCTGGAAAAAAATACAATTTACAAATATGTGCTTTTCACATGAAGATTACAGTCATGGAACTTCATGATTTTCAATCAAAAGGGAGAATATAGCATGATTAACAGAGTGAATTCTGAATTATTATCTAACTCTGCCACCTGCATTTTGAGGTTTAGTTATTCAGCTAAGATTAAGTATTCTGCAGGACAGGATCCCATGTCAAGTCTACCTTTAGCTACCTGATGGAGAGGAAAAGGAACACTTAAGCTCACTATTCAATTTGGAAGGTTTTTTCCTCCTTTATTAAGAGGGGAAAGTTATCCTTGCCAATTTTATTCATATTCACATCTTACTACAATACTAGTTGTTTTTCAATGTGCAAATCCTTCAGTAGGACACATCAGTTAATATGGTAAACAAAAGTCATTAAGAAGGATACAATTAGGTCACAAACTTGAAGTTAATGAATTCACTGAGATTCTAAACTTTCTGGTTTTCTCTGTTTATCCTAAGAATTAAAAAGAAAATTCGAACAACTGTGCTCCATATTTTATGGAAGCAGCAGTGTTTTTAGGAAAGTTTACAATCCTCTACTAGGCACATACATAGCTAAGTTCATGGAAATGTCTCAATGTTTTTTATGAATGCAAAAGAAAAATTCTGGCACATCTATAATGAAGTACACCTGAACAGAAAGTAGTGCATAGCTACAGAACCCGCTACCCAGACTTGTTTATGAAATGCCAGTCACGACTTCCACTTTCCTTAATATTTATTGATATTTGCAATCACTAGCCTCTGCCAGGTACGAGAGATACAACCACAGTACAGTGCTGTCCCTATGACTTAAGATCAAGTGGCTTACATAAGGGAATGGAGAAGAAAAGTAAATATGTGATCAATTCAATGTGACTATGAAGATGTTAGTTTCTAAACCGAACATACCAAATAAGTGACTAAGAAGAATCCTCACAGACATCCAGATCAGGGATCAAGAGGGAGAAAGGGAAGGGAGCAGTTTTGAATTATGACAGTGTTAGTTTCTTCAGGGCATGTTGGAAGTCTGTAAGTAAATCTGAGTCATCACAAAAGGGACGGGGGACAAAGGAATTCAAAGGTAAGGAATACTGGGTGCTTATAATAATGTATTGCACTGTCCTGTGTAACTTTCAAATGTCTCTTTCCTCTTATATAAAAATATTTCTGTTCATTAGCTCTAACTAATTTGAGGGAAAAAAAGTCCTGGTCTGCTATAACTGAACCTTATGCCATGTTTTATTTTCTCCCATTTTTTCATGATACTTCTCTTAAATACAACCTTACTCTGTTTTTCCCCCCCTTGGCACTGGGGATTGAACCCATGGGCCTCATACACAATAAGCCTGTTCTCCACCACTGAACTACACCAGCCATAACTGGTACATCTCACTATCTCATTGTATCTTCCAGTGCAGTAGTGTCTATGTATTTACATATTAAAATACATAGTATAATATAAATTATTTTCCTTTTATTTCACAATTCTATATTTATTTATTATTTTTATTATATAATCTATTACTAAGATTACATCTGTGGTAATTATAAACTATTAATTTCATTTCAGGCTAGTAAAGGAGGTATCTTATTTCTTACAAATATAAACACTCCTGTAAGAAATAGGAGGGTTTTAGCCTGAGAAGGTTGGGAATTACTAATTTACACATGTGTCTACAGAAAGGGTGAGTTAAGCCTTACCCCAAGCTAACACTAATTTGTTTTAAATCAACTTTTGAATACTACAGTAAGTATGGTAAAATTTACAAAATTTGAAAATATTATTTTAGAAAAAGATTTAGGCTTCCCAAATAAAGTGAAACATTCAAAACTACTCTCTTAAATTTAAACTATGAAAAAAAAACTAATCAAATGAGGCTGATTAGCTAATGGCAAAAGAATTTTGGAAATTACAATCAGGATGCTAGATTGACTCTGAAAACAATGTGAAAGAAGACATACTTAACTACTAAAGTTTCTCCAATAACTATAAAAATAAGCTCATTTTAGGTTAACAAAATGAATATTAACTGCTGATCTTGGGAGAAATGTATTACAGCAAATTGATTTCTCACTAGAAAATGTCTTGAGAGCTATTCAAACCTAACAGTATTGTGTCCGCAACTCTTAACAATACTGCTTCACAGCTGTCTCTCTGAATATGAGAACATGTCTGTCCTTGTGGCACAAACTGGCAAATTTAATTAAGCTTCTGCAGCAACAAGATGCTGACTCAGACGTGCCAGAGTAGGAATGTCAAGAAATCTAGCAGTTTAAATTGGCTACATTCAGCAAAGAATGAAATAGCAGCACATCAAGATCATTTCCAAGTGCAGTGCTGCCAAAATCTTCATCACTACAAACCCAAAGCATCTGACAGGGTTTCTCTATCCTCATTTATAGCATTAGATTTTATTTCACTTGATAGTTTGAAGTTTCCTCCCTTCATTTTGTCAACTACCCTTTCTCCTTTTTATTTAAAGTTCCTGTGGGGGGAGGGGGAAGCCAGATCCCAAACTGTTAGTTTCCATACTTAAAGCCTACTGACTTGGTAGCTGCTTTAAAAGCAGCATTTGGGAATGGTAATTCTGGGCTCCATCTCAAGTCTACCTGAATCTTTGCATATGATCTATAATGAATAGGTTAAAACTTCATTTTTTTTCCTATTTAAATCCACTTTCTCCCTTGCTGGCTCAAAAACCGAATCATAAATACCTGAAATAAGAATCTTCAATTTTAAATAAAGGCAATGTTTATAGTGGTATTTCTATATGAATGGTTCACAGGACACTTTAATTTTCTCCTTTATTCTTAGGCAAACTTTTCAAATATTGTAAATGAATATAAATTTTATGCTTTCCAGAAAAGTAAGACTATACCAACTTTATTTATTTATGTGTAAAAACACTATTCTAGTGGTACTTCCATTTTATAAAAGTGTGTGGAGTACAGAGTCAAAGGAAAGCTTTTAATGCTGAAATTAAGAGTAAAAAGCATTTTTGTGGTGGAATAAGGGTTGAATAAAAACCTCATAGTTTTGAAAGCAGCATAATTAAAGGTATTAATATTTTTCCAACATGTAAAAGAACACAAAAGTAAAAAATTAAGAATAACAAAAATCTTAAATTCTTTTTTTAACCAGTTGGAAATTAATAATAAAGCCTGAAAAATCATTCCTTACTATAATCAAAAGTCTAGAAATACATGATATGAATGCCTTGTTTCTTCTTTTTTATACATTAGAAGGTAAATTACATGAATAAGTTGTTTTGTGCATTTAAAGTAATTATTGATAGGGAGGGACCCTTATTATTTTCTTTTCTTTATGCCCTACAGCTTTTCTGTTCCTTACCTCCTCCCAGCAAACATATACACGTCCCTAAAGAAGTATACATAAAAATGACAGAAGAGGTAAGACTATAAGAGAATGGAGAGTTCAGTAATTATTAAAACAGGAAAAATTTGAGCACATTCAAATATTGATTGAAATAATTTAAAATAGGAAAAAAACAAAGACACAGGAATAACAGGAGCACTAAGAAGGCAGGGAAAGATAGGGAGAGATACTTCCTCCATTGTAAAAGATAAAAGGATGAAAGTAAATATGAACTCTCTTAGAGGAGCTCCCTAATTCCCCATCTGCTGGTTTCCAGATTAATCCACAATACAGTAGGATCAGCCAATGAAAAAGGAAAGAGTGCTGGGCTCTGGTAGCTCACATGGCTACTCAGGAGGCAGAGATCAGGAGGATTAGGTTGGAAGCCAGGCAAATAGTTTGTGAGATCCTATCTAGAAAAAAAACCATCACAAAAAAAGGTTGATGGGGTTAGTGGAGTGCCTCTAGCTAGGCCTAGGCCCTGAGTTCAAACCCCATATCCCCACCCATAAAAAAAAAAAAGGAATGAAAGGCAAGAGCTGCTACAGGCAGGTAAAGCAATAAGAAGTGAAAGTTATCACCAAACAGGTCATTTTAATACAAGAGAGGAAAAAAATTCTTTGACAATTTGGCAGCATTAACTAAAATATAAAATATATATACTGTCTGACTAAACAATTTCTATGAATTTACCTTATAGAATTACAAAAAATTACCAATATATTTATAATTAAAAAGGGGGCTAGAATGTACCTCAGTGGTATAGCACCTGCCTAGCATGCAAGAGTCCTTGGGCTCAATCCCCAGCAGTACAACAACAACAACAAAAACATTCTGCAACACAGGACTAGCTAAATGTATTAAAAGTATATCACTAATAAAGTATGATGCAGGCATTATGAAGACTGGGGTGGCGGTGGGAAAGAAAATTGGGCTGTACATACAGGGGCATGGAAGGAAATATAAAATGTTGATTTTAATGAAAAAAAGCAACCTGTAAAACACTTTTATAGGATTTTGTAGTATTTATAGTTACGATTCCATTTTGTATGTGTTTCTATATAAGTACATGTTCTTGTAGGGAAAAAAGTAATAAAGTGTTAATAGTACTTTTCTTCTATTCCTCACATTTCCATAAATGGAATGATTAATTGTGGAAATAGATATAAAACTTCAACTATTAGAAAACAACAGTTAAACATAAAAATAACCAAAAAATAAAGATTACCTGTTAGATAAAATAAATAGTTCTCTTAAACTTGGAGCCATGGAATGAGCTTTATAATTTTCTTGAGAGAAAAATGTCTTCAGGCCATTTTTTGGGGAAAGATCCCTGTGAAACAAAGTGATTTACTTACTTTGACAATTCCAAATCTCATGTTAGACAAAGAAGCATAATGGTACACTTGTAATTTATGGCCACATACTCTCTACCCATCTTTCCTAGACAGACAGTTCTTAATGTTTGATTTCACATACAGATCTACGTGCTTACAAGGTTTACTTCTTGGAGAGCTTTAAGTTCATGCTGATTATGAAATGCTTTTCCTATACTACCCAATTAAATAAATGTCAGAGAGACTTAAGATGTTTGCCACAGAAAATGTTTCTCAGCTTATTTTTGTTTCCTGCATTATTGTGCCAGGACAAAAGACCAAATAGCCTACCTATTTTTGTTAAATTGGTTTAACTTTGTTAAATGACATAAATGGTGTGCCCTTGTTAAAATCACCTCTAAAGTGATATACAATTTTTATAATATCGTCATTAATTAAGACTAACATATAATCAATGCTGCCAAAGTGAAAAAACTAAAACACTGAGAACCATAATCACTGGACAGTGATTAGTGAATTCTGTGGAAAAAGAGAATTCCTTTTTAATAGTGGGCAAAGGTTTCACAATGCCAGTGATATGTAAGAGTATCTGCACAGCATATGAACACATACTTCATAGCACTGGAAAGATACACAAATGTGAATGTCTCTTAAAACCTATAACTGAACACACTAATCAAATCCAGCTTTTGCCTGTCCCATTTCCAAATGGGACATCTTAGCATATTTCCACCATATTCATTTCTTTCTGTTTTAAAGGCACATATTAAGGTATTAATGTAAAATTAGCCTTTATTTGCTGTGGACCAGTGTAAAGTTCATTACTCTGTCACGGTATTGCATCCGTAACATTTTATTAAATTCTTAGGTTTCCAGAGGTCATTTTAAAACAAGGAGCTTCAGAGACGGTGAACTCCCTTGGAGACAGAGGAGAGTAGCTTACAATAAACATGTATTACTGAACATACTGGTTTAATACTCTTTGAATTAGGTACTATTCAAAAAATAATTTGTAGCCTCTCTGTGACCTTCATATCCTCCTTGGCTGGCTCAGTAAATGTGTGTTAAAATGATCTAAAGCAGCAATGTGTATTAGATGCTGACAAACCATTATATTACTTAACTTGGTTATGTATTTGTTCTCACACACTTCTAAAATACAGTACAATCTATGGATTTGTATTATCATTTAATATAGATTCTAACACAACAAAAAAAATTCTTTTTTTTTTTTTTTAATTAAAGACAGGGTCCCATATATATCTCAGGCTGGGTTTGAACTCTCTACCCTCCTGCCTCAGCCTTCCCAGTACTGGGATTACAGATGTACACCTCCATGCCCAACTGAAGTGTGGTCTTTTTATTGCCTGTATGGAAATGGGCAAAAGTTTTGGACACAAGCAAATTCCAGCATCTCTCCTTTACAAGAGGTCAACCATTAACACAAGACAAATTATGCCTAGTAACAACTGAATATTGACTTGTCACTTAGAAGTGCAAGTCAGTTAGTTAAAACATTTTTAAGTGTTTAATATGTTGTTCAGATGAAAACAGGGTAAATTCCAAGACCCTGAACTTTTGTCTTGTTTCTTCCAAACCTCTGCAGGCCATAAACCCTCCTTTCCTGTATCAACCACCAGCCCTGTTTCACTCCTCTTCCCTGCATTAGGAAGTGACAGAACTCACCAGTTCAGCCTTGGTTCACTCATGGTCATGCTGGAGCTCATCTTCCTAGATTTCTACTTCACTCTAGCCCACAATTCTGCTGCCAGGCAGCAAAGGCTCCAAGAGAGGCAGGATCCCTGAGAATCTACACTCAACTGAGGAAAAACAGAAAGTCAAGATCAAAAGCAAGGGACTGGCTAGGTGAGGTGCTATTAACTCAGGTGAGAAAGGACCTTTGCTTCAAGTTTACCTCCAACCGACTTGGCACCTAAAACAGAATAGGAAGACAGATGAATGTTCTCAAGGTTCTCTGTAGCAGAGCAGCATTGATGTAGGAAGCCTCTTTTTCCATTTAATTTATGCAAGAAGTGTCACTCTTAGGACATTCATAGTTAGTAGGAGACAAAACAGAATTATGCGCTCATTATTTAAATACTGCATCACTTCATGGCAGGGAGATGCATGTCTCAAATCTACCCCAGTCCCTCACTGTTAAAATAAATCTTGCTTGCGTTTTCCCAAGCATATTCCGTTATGAGGCACATTCTGGCACATGATGCATGGGAAAAACTGGATCTCAGGATCTTAGACCTTTCCAAAACAACCTTACATTTGATGAGACTCAGGTCCAGGCAACTTAAGTGACAACGCACAGGTTCACAGGGAGATATAATCAGGACTAAAAATCTCTCCATGTTCGGTGCTTTCCCTGTCACCCAGGCGGGCTGATAAAGTGACACGTGAGAAAGTAACAGATTTAGGAACCAGTTTCTTCACACTCCTGGAGGGCCTAACCTGCTCCCATTTAATCCATCTCTTACACTTTGACCCCTTATGGGGCTGGGAGAGTGGGGGGCCGAGGAAGGTAAAGGGAACGGCTGAAGGAAAGAGACGAAAGTTCCAGGAAAGCAGGTAGAAGAGTGAGCAAAGCCGGGAAAGGAGCCGCGTCAGAAGCGGGAGCCGCCATGTTTCCTCCTCCCGTTCCCACGAGGCGCCCGCCGCAGGGCAGCTCGCTCCCGGGCGTCGGGGCTGAGTAGCCGCCTTTCCGCCCACCTCATGGTCCGCATCGGCTCGGGGCCCCACCACAGCGACCACGCCACACACGCTCCGCCCCACTCACACTCACGCAACGCCCGGGAAGCCATATTTAAAGGACGTGGCCACGCCGTCTCGGCTTTGCGTGATGACGTAACGAAAACGCAGGGGCGGGGCCTGTACTTCTATAAATAAGCCGCTCCGCTTCGCCCCGAACTGGGCCTACTGCAGGTGGATCTGACAGAGGGTTGGTGGGGTTGGGGTTGCGTTTTATCCTAGAACGTTTTTACTCTTGGTGTGTGTCGGAGTAATAAATTAGAAGGATTGGAAAAAATGCCAGCAGACTTAGTTGTGATCTCTGTATAATTCGTGACTTCCCTCATCCCAATTCCTCATCTCATTCATACATACTTCATAGGGTTTTGGAAAACCCTAGTATGAAAAAAAGGATGAAGCTGTGCTCAGCACAGTACCTGACCAATCTAGGACCTCATTCCATGTAACTTCTCCGCTCCCCATCCGGCTTTGGATGTCAGTTTCCGCTAGTAGGTGTTTGTGATTCTCACACTAGCTTTGTCCTGATTCATTAAGGGAACTTTTATTGTGCACATAGGCTGTGTATTAGGTACTGGGTACACATAATAGGACTAAGACTGAATGCTGGTTATTCCAGAGATTTTGATCGTTTGGATTATATGTCATTTACATTAAATGAAACAAAAAAGAAACCCATGAGCTACATAAAAGGTGTTAAGGACTGGATTTTAAATATCCCCCAAAGGGGCCTTTCTTCATCGAGTTGATTCTGTTAGGTATTTTGTCACAGTGATAAAAATCTAACACAAGAGGTATAACGAAAACATTTTGTGAGTTCAGAAAAGGATAGAAATTGCTAGAGTGAGGAGGGATGGAAGGAAGCTTTGCATAAGACTTGTATTGGTTACAGCACAAAGGCTGGGTGTGCTTGCCACCCTACTGAAGCTAGTCAGTCGAGAGGCAATGGTAGAGAAAAGTTACTAAGCAAGGAGCTCGCTGACCCAAACACCACTATCCTTTTAAAGGACCATTTTGCCTAGAAGCTGATTTTGGATCAGTTTGTATAATTGGTGGATGATCACAAACTGGTGGGCACATTCTCATAGGTGAAGGCTTGTACTCAGATGTGTTATTCAATTTTTGGGACAAAATACTTGACAATAAATAATTTAAGGGGGGGGGAAGATTTGTTTTAGCTCATGGTTTAAGAGGTTTCAGTCCATGGATATGTTGATCCTGGATTTGTGGAAAGGCAAAACCTCATGAGTTGGAGCATGTGAAAGAGGTTACTCACCTCATGGCAGTCAGAAAGCAGAGAGAGAGAAGAGTGCCTAGGACAAGATACCCTCCCCACCCCCCTAAAAAAAGCCTCCCTCTCAAATGTCCTACTTTCTCCAGCTAGGTGCCACCTCCTAGAGTTTCCAGAACTTCCCAAAGTAGCGTCACCAGCTGGGAACCAAGCCTTTGGCTCTAAACCATAACACCAGATAACACACATCTGATTTAATTGCCTAGTCACAAAATGTTTTTCATTTATGCAAATTTCAAGAGCAAGGATTATTATTCCCTTGAGCTATTCTTGTTACTGATTTGTTTGCCTGTGTGAAACTCCTGACACGTTACACAATGGATAGGCTAGAGGGGAAAGACCAAGGGCAGATGAAGTATGGAGTCAGATAGGAAAAGAGAGAGAGAGAGAGAGAGAGAGATCTGGTATGAATGCTTGGCTTCATATTGAGTACTCATTTGTCAGTTATCAAATTGTAATGTGACTTACTTGAACAATTTGATTATGTGGAATGACAGGGAAAGAACATTCTAGATAGAGATCAGTATAAGGAACTACATTAACCTATTTCAAGAACAGACTTGAGTTTGTATGCTGTGAGGAAACTATGTTTTAGATTTTAGAATGATTAATGATATTATTAAAAATGTTAATATGAAATTATGCTGTAGGGATGCTTAGGCAGTTTATTTTGCCTAGAATACAAGGTCTCTGAAGGCTAGTAAGGGGAAAAGGGCTAAAAAATTTATTGGAACCAGAACACAGCATACCTTGTAAACCAGACTAAGGAAGTTTGAATTTACTGTATAAGAGAAATGATAAGGGTGAGAGAAGCTTAAAAGCAGAGGGATGACACAGGCAGGGCTAATGTGCTTTGGGAAAGTTTACCTGGCATCATATTGGATGAATTGGAATGAGGAGGCCAGTTAGGAGATGGTGCTTGTAAATTCTTGCAAATCAACTAGTACATGGCCTAACACTGTGCAGCAGTACTTAATAGGAAAGTGTGTTGCTGGCTTGAACAAAGACCAAGGCAGTATAAAATTAAATGTGTTGCATCCTACAGCAGTCTCCTCTTACCTGCAGTTTTGCTTTTGATGGATTCAGTTACCTACAATTAATAGTGAATGGAAATATTAAATGGAAAATTCCATGAGTAAATTTATAAATTTTAAATAACTTTTATTGCAGTACACGGTTATGATTACTGTATTTTCTTTTAGTTACTGTTGTTACTCTCTTACTATGCTTAATTTATAACTTAAACCTTATCATAGGTATATTATAGGTACTATCAATTGTTTCCCGTGTCCACTGGGGGTATTAAGAATATTCCTGAAGATAAGGGGCAGACTACTCTGTCTCACAAAGCATGCAGTCGGGCAGAGTTAGGGAGTCCTCTCCTTGTCCATAGAAATTTCTGAAATTGTTCAAGAACTCATGCTAATGGCACACACTAGCCCATATATTACATCATGTCATGTGGTATGGTAGCATTATCAAATGTACCCTGTAATGGTTTGATTCTAAAATGTCCTCTAAAGGCCATATTCTAAAGACCAGCTGATGGACTTATAGGGAGTGATTGGATCATGAGGACTGTCATCTCATTAATGGATTAATCATCTCATCAATGGATTAATTAATCCATCGATGGACTCATAATTGAATAGACTACTGGGAGGTGATGGAAACTGAAGGAGGTAGGGCCTAGCTAGAGGAAGTAGGTCACTGGGGGCATGCCCTTGAACTTTGTGTCTTGTCCCCCTCTGCCTCTTTGCATACTCAGCTTTCTGGCTATCATGAGGTGAGCAACTTTGTTCCACCATGCCCTCTCCACCATGATGTTCTGCTTCATCATAGGCCTGAGAGCAATGGAACCAGCTGATCATGGTGGTGAAACTTCTAAAACCATAGCCAAAATAATTCTTTTAAATTGTTTATGTGAAATATTTTGTCACAGAGATAGGAAGCTGACTAACACTGGAAGTTGTTACTGAGAGTAGTGTTACTGCTGTAACTATACCTGATTACATGGTTCAGAAGTCTTTGGAACTGGTTTGCAAGAGGTGTTTGGAAAAGTTTGGAGGTACTGGCTAGAAAAAGCCTGGCATCCTGACAGAAGGGGTTAATGGACAGTTTTGGTGGGAGTTCATAAGACCAGAATACTGATGGGAACATGGACAGTAAATGCTGTGCATGGACAGTAAATGACGACAGGTCATTTTTTAAATATTGTACATTTTAATTTTTTATTATTAGTATATTGTTGTACAATGTTGACATTTGTGACATTTACATAAGTGCTTACAATATATCTTAATTAGATTCATCCCCTCCCTCTTTCTCCTTTATACCCACTCCCCCCAGAACAATTTCAATAGGTTTCATTATTCTATTTTCATACAGGAGTACAAGATATTTCCATTATATTTGCCCCCTTTCCCTTCCCTTATGTCTTTCCCCCTCCCACTGCTACCGATCCCCCAAAAGAACCTGTTTGACATTCTTGTCCTTCACATTTTTTTGAATTAAGTGTCTTTTTTAATGGAAAAGCTAACCAACTGTCTACTTACATTTTTCCCAAAACCCCACAAACTAGGTAGTAACTGACTCTAGACAACATGTTCAAAGCTGAGAAGATTTTTTTTTTTAAAAAGTCCTCAAGTCCAATTAAGAGCCCTGCTACATGTAAACTAATCAGTATCAGTGGTACATGCTTGACTCTAGGAGTCTGGAAGACATCCCAATATCCTCCCTCAGAACATTAACTTCAAGTAGGCCTTTTCTAGTTTCCAACTCATGAATAAAGATAATTTTTTGCAAGTTGTTTTATTTACAATGCCAACTTTTAAAAGCTTAACTAGAGTTAACTGGACAATGAACTAGGCAGAAATTGCTTGACAGAAAAGAGGGAAAGCCCAAAATGCCACTTTCTACAGAGAACCCATAGTTCAGTTTTATTCAGAGTGAAAAAAAAGCTTTCACTCATACTAGCAGAAACTCAGCCATAGGTTTGGAGTCTGTACTCAAACTACACATGCAATAAGGACAATCTTATGCTAATATAATTGATGTGCTACTTCATTTGTCTACTGTCTGTCTAATATTAACAATTATAAACAGAGCAGTGCAAATAGTATTTGGAACAATCCTTATAGTGTTACAGTGTCAGGCACAACATTTCACTTCTTTTCACTCCACTGGTTCTCTTTGCATACCTGGGCTTCCTCCTCTTCAGTAAGGTCATTTTTGATATTGAAGGTTTTGCGAATCTCCTCAGGAGTTTTCCCGAATCTCCTCAGGAGTTTTTCCCTTAATCATATTGGCAACAGTCTTGCATGTAACATCAAGCAAACCTTTTAAGTCTAAGTAGTCTGCAACCAAAATAAGTTCAAAAAGTGTTCCTTGGTCAACTTTCTGGAATTCTTGGCCCCAAACAGGTATATCTTCTGTTCCCTTTTCTTTGTTCTCATCATCTTCAGGAGGAGGAGGGTCACCCTTGTGGTAGGTGCAGCACTTAGTGACCTTTTTTCAATATTGCTGCGTTAACATTTGGTAGAGGAACTGGGTCATCATCTCCTTCATCATCCACTCCCAAATCTTCCAACATAGTCTGATGGTCACAGATTGCTTGGCAATTTCTTCATCTACTTCAAATACCTCTCCATCAGAACTCTGCAACTCT